ATTTTCAAGTTTTCAGCCCTATCTCTCTCAAATTTCTGTTTTTACCAGTTAAGTTGCCTGTGCAGGTTTATTTTAAGCCATCTCACACCCTTTTAATGGTGTAAGAGGAACGCAGTAGAAAACCATAAACAAACGCATGCCATGGTGCCAGCCAGTCTGACTTCTTAAATCTCCCTGGGTTTGCAGGGAGGAAATGGCGGGCACCCGGGGTCCCACCCCGACACGGGCCGGGCACTCATCCCCTGCCCACGGAGTCATAGGCCGTGTGCATTGAGAAAGGCAACTGGACCCAGGCGCCTGGAGCTCTGGTGCTCAGGGGAGGTTCCACGCAGGACAGGAAGTGGGCACTGGACTTTAAAGCCCTGTCTGGGTCTAAATTTCTCCAGAATGCAAAGAAGGAAGGAAGGTAGAGGACGGTGGAAATAAGCCACTGCTGCAGCACCTGACCCTTCCAGAGGCAGGCCCAAGCCATTTCTTGCACCGTGTCCATTCAGGGGGCCGTGGGGCACAGGTGAGGCCATGAGAGCTCTGATTTAAAGGGCAGTTACACGTTGCCGTGCTCTGGGAAGGCAGAGAGCAGCTTCCCAAGCAGAAGGAACAGCAGGGGCAGAGGCCGAGGGGCCCAGGTGTGTGTATGCTTGCTTGCCCCATGACAAGAATCCGAGGGAGCCGAGACATGGTTCTGGACAGGCGGCTTGGGGGCAGGTCTCTGGAGGTCCTCGTGTTCAATGCTAAGGAATCTGGTAGGAAATGGGGAGTCCCTCGAGGGAGAGGAACTACGCAGTCATGGTTATGTCTCGCAGAGATCTTTTAACAGCAGCACAGAACAAAAGACATGAGGCAGAAGGACTTCAAAGAGGCTCTGACAGTAGCTCCGGAGACAGACAGCAAAGTAATGGATTGGGGTGGTGAGCGTGAGGATGGAAATGAACAGAGGAGAAAGTAAGGAAGGTAGAATGGCAGGGCTCCTGGCCAAATGAGAGGGATGGCAAAGGGAAGGGGGGACTCTGGCCTGGTGCCTGGGTGAGCGGTGCGACTGTTGACCAGGCCAGAGGACACCAGAAGAGGACTGGGTGATGACCAACCTGAGTCTGGGCCTGTTGGTTGTGATGTGCCCTTGGGATGCGCCGTTGGCGTTGTCCGATCGGCAGGAGTCACGGGAGGAGAGCAGTCCTGCCTGGACCCCTGGCCTTGGGCGTTGCCAGTTTATAGGGGTGCTCAAAGCCGTAGGAGTGAATGGGATAGTGGGAGGGTGGGGGGATAAAATGGGGATGAGGGTAGCATCGATGTTTAAGCACAGGCAGGAGAGAAAAGTCCATGAAGGAAGGCTAAGTGCGGCCAAGAGGCACTTCTGCTTCCCCTGTTCCCTTGGGCAAGGAGAGTGACCAGAGCATCGGCCACGGCTCACCACCCCCCAAAATTGTCTCCGGGAATGGCCCTGTGGTCATGGCCCTAGGAGTTCCCGAGTGACTAGTGGCTCGGGCTGAGGACCTTGGGAAGAACTGAGACAGGGACATGTGGGCTGAGCCGGCCTCCCTCTCCTTCCCAATTTCCTCCCCATACACTGTCATGTCCAGCCTTTCACAAATCTGTTTTTCTCTGAGGAAAAAAACAAGAGGATTTAAAAAAAAAAAAAAAGAGGAGGAACAGGAGAAATGCTGGTGTTAGTTTAGTTTTTTAGCTCAGACAAGGACCCAGCACCTCCTAACATCGAAGAGAACTTCCCAGATGCGTCCTAGGTGACCCGATGAGTTCATTCCTTCACTACCGTGAAGAGCGAAGAGACTCGGGTCCTAGCGGGATTAACAAAGGAGGATTTTACAAAACCAAACAAAAGAGAGAAAATGGCCCCAGAGTTATGCTATCTAATTCGTGCTTTTCCTTAGGAACAGGTTTATGTCTCTAAACTGACAATGGTTCCTTCCTTGCAGCCAAATAATTGATCTATTTGGTGTTCTGGCTTTGAGCTGAAAGTGAACTGGCCTCTTTAGAAACGTTGGCAGCCTGGCTGGTCCATTAGCAAGACCGGAAAATCCAAACACTGACTGGAAAGGGCCATTATGGTTGGGCTGGGCAGGAGTCATCGATAGATGATGTCATTTCAGAAGTGAGCAAGCCAAGGTCACGAGGCCCCTGGGCAGAGCCAAACTACCCTCCATGGCCCATCACCAGCCTCCTTTGCAGATACTGAAGTCTGCCAAGGGGACACAGAAATCTGAGCTGGGACTGGCCTCCTTTTACCCTTTCTTTGCTCAGCCTGATTCTAGAGGCATGTGATCCCAGGGCCTGTTGACATTCAGGGGGATATTAAGGAAGGTCCTCAGCCTTCCCACGCGCACCCCCTTAGACTCTCTTTTCACCCTCTTCCCCTCTCCTGGTCCTTCTCTGCCTCTTCCCACACACCTCATCCCAGGAACACCTGCCTCACCTCTGTGTCCTGTCTCTATTTCTTGATACCTCCCCTCTCCCTTTCTCATCCAAGCTTTTAGAGTCATAGGCTGTCTCCATTTCTTCAGCTCCCATTAGCTTCTGCCTCTTCCCCTCACTAACACTAATAGTATCACTTCAGGGAGGCGGGCTTTCCCTGCATCATCCCCCTTAATCCCCATAGCAACCCCTATGAAAGGGGTGCTATTATTATCCCAAAGTACAGAGGAAAAAACTGAGGCTCAGACAGACAGTGTGGCGGGGCAGGGGAGGGGGCGCTCACTAGCCCCAGCGAGGCCGTAGCAGGTCCCAGGTTTGAACCTTCTGCAATGCCCTGGCCAATGCCAACTGCCCCGCCAATCCTGGTGGCCCCTCCACAGTCCTCGGCCCCTCTGTCTTTGAGCAGCAACTGTCACTGCCAGCCTCCCTCCCACCCTGGCTCTTGGGAAGCCACTTCCTCCCACTCTTTCCCCTCTTCTTCAGAGTGGGCTCCCCCAGATTTTATTCCTGGCACTGCATTTTTCTCATGCTAGAAAGTCTTCCAGGAAACTCCAAGCCCTTTTGATTTCAGGGCAACTAGAGACCATCTTGCCCGTGCTCACTCTAAGTAGGTGGCAGAGCCGCTGCCAGGCGTCCTAACCTCCCCGAAAGCCCACTGTCCTCACTAAGAGCTGCCGCTGCCTCCTAACTCCTGCGTGTGTGCTTTTGCTGGGCCGCGGGAGGCAGCCCCACCCTGGAGGAGCAAGAAGGTGCGAGACCCTGATAAGGTGGGCGGAGGCTATTTTGAGAGGACACTGGCTTTCCACTTAGACTGGGAGGAACTCAAGGGCCAAGAGAGTCTGAAACAAAGGACTGAAAGGCTGGCTCGTTACAGAGAATTAACTCACTGGAGTCACAGCATTCCTCGCTTTCACTCTCTGCCTGTTTGTTTGTGGCTGGAATTGACAAGAACCTTACTATTTGTCTCCGTTTTCCCTTAATTCTACCTGTGGGGCTTTGAGATGCCCTTAGAGAAAATATATAAGAGAAAGTAAAGTAGAAACAAAAATGAAACTTCAGGATGAGGTGCTCTTGTCTGAGCAGGGGAATGTCCTGGACAGCAGCTGGTCAAAGAAGAGGGGGCGCTAGTGGGTGTTCACTGACCCTAACACCTGCCTCAGCATCAGGAGGAGTCAGGAAAGATATGAGAAAGGCTGGTACAGACTGCAGACCTCCTGGTGCTCCCGGCAGCCTGTGACCTTGAGCAGGGGGCTCTGCGGCCCTTCTGGAGAACAAAATGGCTGTCACCACTGAGAGAATTCTAGATGGAGATTTTGGGGGTGCTTCCGCTGAGGGCCCAGAACTTGAGCTAGGCGCTGGCTCTGTGACTGGGGCGCAGAAAAGCCTGGGCCAGGTCATCTCCAGAGTGTGGGAGGGCAAAGGTTGAGGCCAAGTGCAGGGTAGGTAGCAGCAGAAAGGGTAGGGATTAGGGCTTGTGCCGGCACTCAGAAGGCTGCATCATAATTACTGTTTGGGAGAAGCAGAGGCCTGGGAGCAGCTGCACTGGAGCCTCCCGCCCTGCCCAGTTCTTTGGGTCTAAAGCTGTTTGAGTCACAGGCTGCTTTGCGAAAGTGATGCTGCGACCCGGCATGATACCACAATTACCGCGGGGCGCGCTTCCCGTGAGGGTGCGGCCCAGGCTATTCCAAGGGTCCTAATAGGTCCCAGAAGCCCACCGTCAGGGGACCACAGAAGACTCTGGTTTCTGTAACCCCTCCGGATATGCACGGCTGTGCCCCCAGTGTCCCAGGCCCGGAGCCGGTGAACAGGTTGGAGGCGAGCCGGTGGTCTAGAGCATACCCTGCTGCTCTCAAGGCTCTGACTCCTAGCTTCATCCTGGGAACAAACCCCGCCCCTACACATGGGGAAACTGAGTCTCCAAGAAGCGAGACGGCTTGGCAAGGCCTCCCTGTGAGTTGGCAACAACCGGGAGGCTTCTGTCTCCAGGCACCTTTCCGGTCCACCTCCGCGCAAAATCCGCGCCGGGCACCTCTTCACCTCCCGCAGTTTGGGAAACTTTTCCTGCCACAAACGGGCGCAGCCCGAACCCCGGTTCCACACCTGCCCAAGCACGGACGCCCCCACTCCCACGGCCGAACTCTCGGAGCGGGAGGGCGGCCGCGTATAGGAGCAGGCTCGGGTGGGCACCTGACCCCCGCGGGGCAGCCGGGCGCGGAGCAGCCGGGCGCGGAGCGCCGCTGAGGAGGCCCCGGCCCCGGCCCGGGCTCCTCTCTCCGGTTTACCGAGGCGGCTGGCGCTGAGGTCCAGAGAGGAGGCGCCCTGGCCAGAGCCACACGCGCGGAGCGAACGCGGGCGATGGGGACCGGAGCGTCGCGCTCGGGACCCGGACACCCGGGCTCCTCAGCCCCGAGGCAACCCGGGGCGGCAGCTATTTATAGAGGGAGCCGCGCTCAGTCCCTCTTGGCGGCGGCGGCGACAGCTGAATATTTTGCCCAGATATGGCTGGCGCCCCGGCGCGGGGGCAGGGAGCCCCGCGATGGCGAGGGGGACCCCTGGGCGGGTGGGGGGCTTACCGGGCCGTGGAGCCGCGGGGCGAGCGCGAGCGCGGGCGCGGGCGTGCGAGCGGAGCTTGGGGCTGCACGAGCTCCTGTGCGGCCGCGGGCAGGCGGGCGCTGTGGGCTCCGGGGGCGGCAGCCAGGGGCGGGCCCGGCTCCCGCTGTCACCGCGCCGCGCCCCGCCCCGCCCGCCGCCCTCTCCCTCCACTCGGGGGCGCCGGGGCCCAGCGCGCGGTCCCGGCCCGGGAGCGACACCGCGGCGGGCGGGGCGGGGCAGGGGCCGGGCCGCCCGAGGCCGGACGCTACGGACGAGCGGGTGCAGGTCGCTCCGGAGTCTCGGGTTCCGCACTTGCACCGGCGGGAGTTAAAGCGCTGGTGGAGTTACCTGGAAAGCGGTGGGCGGATGATTCTCATCCCAGAGGCGTTGGGAAGGTTCGCGGAGGGAGCGGAGCCAGCCCAGCATCTGCTGCACCTTTGCCTCCTCCGATTGAAGCGAGGGCCGCTCCGTCCCAGCGGCAGCCCCGCGGGGTCTGGTGGAACTGAAGCTTTGATAACGACGAGGGGCACTGTCTCCATACTGAGAGGCTGGGGTGTCCAAAATAAGGACGGAAAGAGCAAAAGAGGTCCCGCTTTCTTAAAAGGCTAGTAATATGTTTTCCAGAACAAATAACTTAAACCCAAACTTCAAGTGTTTGAAGTTTTAAAATGGCTCATGAAAAACTATTTGTATGAAGAGAAGATAAGGTCTCTTTGGATTATCATGGGGAAGTTCCTAGTAGGAATAAATATCAGCCCTTTTTAATTCCGGGGTATAGGTGCTAGTGAGAAGCACTCATTTTTTAAAAAAGAAATCTCGTTTTTCACTAAAGTGCATTTCTACATACAAAACCCTTGAAGTTATAAAAGAATACTCTTTTCAAGGGGTAGGTACCATGTACTTTAAAATAAAGGACCTAACATTTCAGACGTTTTAAATGCGTTTGTTGTGGAATCTAACTTTAAGTGCATACAACACAGGGGGGCAGGTTCAGGAATGTGTGTCCATGAGAACACCTGTTGGGGCCAGCACGCGGGCAAGAACGGACGTTGCCGGCGAGCCCAGAAGCCGGCTTGGGCCCTTGGAAAGATGATCCCTTTTTCGACTCTAAAGGGCGTCATTTCCTTGTCTCTTCTCTCCACGTTTGTCTTCATTGGCTCAACTCTATGTTGTGAAGTTAATATGCTGTTTCGTGTGGCTGAGGTTTCCTCTCACAGCTGTACAGGTTCCCACTGTGTACCACCGGTTTTAAGTATCCATCTTACTAATGGACATTTAGGTCGTTTGCGGGCTTGATAACAATAACGCTGCTGCGAACACTGTTTTCTATAAGCCTCCTGCACAAGTGCGCACATCAACAGCGCTTGAAATGAACAAAAATGGATGCATTTCCCCCATTTCTGGTACATGAGTTGGTTATCTCATTGAGGTTTGAATTTGCACACCTGTGTTCCCTGGGGTTGAGTGCCTGTGTTAATTGGGTAGCTGGATTTTCTCTTTTGTGAAATGTTTGTTCAAATGTCTTGCCCATTTTGCTTCTGGGTAGTCTTTTGTTTATTGAAAATGTTCAGTATATTTTCCCACAACATATATACAGGGTGAGGGAAAAGTAGCTTTACAAGTTGTTTGTATGGCAAGTGATACAATAGTTAATACATAATAATACAAGAATAAAATGTTTCACATACACCTGTAAATTCTGTAAACTCTGTACAGTATATATTGGGTTGGCCAAAAAGTTCATTTGGGTTTTTTCTGTGAGATGGCTCTCATAGTGCTTAGTTGTCTTTAATTGCATTTAAAAATTTTTGTTAGATTGTATGTGGCAGCTGTCATATCAGTGTGGATTTAAAAAATTATCAAAATTGGTGCATTTGGGGGTAGCCATTTTAATATCAAAGACATTAAAAATAAGCAACATTTCAGCACATTATGCTTTGGTATTTCAAGAAAGATAAAAACACAACTGAAATGCATAAAGATTTGTGCAGTGTATAGAGAAGGTGCTGTGACTGATCAAACATGTCAAAAGTGGTTTGCAAAGTTTTGTGCTAAAGATTTCTTGCCGGACAATGCTCCACAGTCAGCTGAATTTGATAGCAATCAAATCAAGACATTAATTGAAAACAATCAATGTTATACCACACAGGAGATAGCTGACATACTCAAAATACCCAAATCCATAAAATTGGTGAATATGAAAAAAAAGGTTTATGAAAAAACATGCAGACTTTTTGGCCAACCCAACACACTCCTCCACTCCGCTCTTGCCTTCATGACGACGTCTCGGATGAGTGTTCTTCACTTTCACAGTCTTGTCTCTCGACTTTTCCTTTATTGTTAGCACGTTGTGTCCTATATGTAAGGCTTCTTCCCTACTCCCGGTTATAAAGGTGTTTTCCTATCTTAGCTTCCTACAGTAGCCTCTCCTGCTTGGGCTTCAGTCCACCTGGAACTGACTTTCGAATATGGTGTGAGGTAGAGGTCGGGTTTCTTTTGTTTGTCAAATGTCCTGGCACTGGATTAATTTTTCCAATTACATCTACAGCACAATTTTCTTTATTTAAAAAGTAATGGAAATACTTCTAAAGTCAGTAAAATAGAAACTACCTTTCCTTATTTGTAGACAATTCAAAATTTTTTATTTTTTTAGGAAAACATCATAAAAACATTTACACTACTTTATTTCACTTAAACATTTATTCCATTCTTTATCATTAATAATTATTTAAACCACTGGCATAAGCATTCCTGGATTTTGAATCACTTTAATTATATTAAATATAAATTCTAAAAAGCTAGAAAGGTAATTTAAACATTTTTACATGGAAAACTTAAAACATCTGGTATTTAACTTCTTTGTATTCTCACTTTTCCTAAATTTTATCACATAAAAATAAGCAAATGACTTCAAGCATTTTGTATAAACTTCACTTCTTCCTTAATTTTGTGGCCACGCTCAACCAGTTCTGTGAGCATCCTGATCACCAGTGTTTTGAACTCTGCATCTGTTAGGTTGACTATCTCTTTGTTGCTTAGTTCTTTCTCTGGAGTTTTGATCTGTTCTTTCATTTGGGCCATATTTGTCTTGGCGCACCAGTCTGGATGAATGTTTCTTCTTCAACTCCTTGGTTGTTGGACTTCCATACAGTTTGATTTTCTGGCTTTTTTTTTAAATTAGTTGTTTCATTTGATTGTGTGCAGAAATAAATGCCTCCATCTTGGCCAGAACCATCAGCATCAGTCTTTGACACCTCCTCTTTCTTATCTTCTAGATCCAAGGTGTAAATTCTAATCAAAAACTTCAAAAAGCCTTTAATGTTTTTTCTTTGGTCCCTTTGCTCCACTCTTAGTCCAGGGCCTCCCTCCCTCCTCTTCAGGCCCCTGCTAAGGCCTCTGCAGTATCCCTGTCAATTCATCCTGCCCATCCACTAGCAAGAACACACCGTTACATGTGCCTGGTGCCTGCGAGACATCCTTCTGCCTGCTGTGGAGGATGAAGACAGTGGTGTGCTGGAGTCTGCAGTGCAGGCTTTCGAGAGCCACTGGGGTGCATCTCCTTCCAACTCCACGTTCGGTGATGTCACACTGTTAGCTGGGACTCAGCAATGGAGCGGGCATTTACCATCTGGGGATTGCCGGGCTCTCCCCGTGCCGAGAATACCAGTGATCCTGGACGCACATGCATGGGGTTCAGGGACCTGGTAAAGGTCCAGTGGGACTGGTAGAGGGAATGGTGGACAGTGAGGTTCAGTGGGGAGACTGCAGAAGGCCTGGGCGTTCAGTCTCAATTCTCTGGACAATGAGGAGCCGCTCAAGATTTGGGGGGAGAGGCACGCTGGTCTGCCTGGCTGCTCCTCCTGCAACACCACTCGCAATGCCGGTGTGCTAAAGGCTCGGGGTCATCGTCCCATGGTTTGGGGACTTTGGGACACAGCACGACACACTAGGGTAGAGTTAAGTCACGAAATTCTCAGTCTACCTGGAAAAGAGCCCAGCACCACAAGGAAGACAAGATGAACAGAAAGGGAAACTCTTGGTCTTCAGATCTTAAAGCCTAGAAATGATGAGGCAGCCAGTTTTTACATTGATAAACATGTTTATTCTAATGTTATAGTAATAATTCAAGTACGATTCTCCTGGAAAAGTCAACTCTGTCAAACACAACTTATAAATATTTTCATAAACCATAACACACTGTTTTTAGTCCCCACAGCAGTCGGAGCCATGTAGCAGAGATAAGGTTTTTTTTAGCCTACTACCTCTTGTTATTGCTAGAAAATCTGAGTTAGTTGTCGAGGTCACAAAAGCAGTGGTTATTTAACTTTTGAAAGCTCCACCAGATATTGTGACATAAAATCATGAATCCAGATATCCGTGTCTGGCAACGAGGTGTCCACCAAATAGACCACCACTTTCTGGTCCCACGGGTTAGTGTTTTCTGTAACCGTCTGCACCAATGCCACCAGAGGTTTCTTCTCCACGTGATTTCGAAACACCATCGAAGCCTCTTCGGACCACTGGCTGCACTTGACTCCTAGGAGAAAGAGCAGGGAGGGGTCAAACGAGCCTGTCTCTGGGCCAGCACGACAGAAAACTACTGCGTCAGTCCCAAAGTGGCTAAAACATCCGGTTAGACGTGCCTACCAGGGAAGCAGTGGCCAGACGAGCTCGAAGCAGCCCAGCCCACAGCGTTTCTGTTCCAAATGGGGTCACTTCTGTACACCTTTATGCCACGTCCACCGCGGCACCTTTACTCACAGACACAGTTTTGAGACTTAATGCTACATAAAATGAAGTTATACAACTCCCGTCCACTTCCCTACATGAAGTACATGCAGACTTAAACTGATAATGGAGATAAATAGGAAGAGTATCAATGACACTTCTCTTACTTACAGACTTTTTTTCTGATGAACCAGATGTAGTAAAAAAAAAAAAAAAAAGAATAACATACAATTTTTAAAAAATCAGGATGTACAACATCATGGCCAAAGCCCTGGACTGAACGCCCGGAGACGCGGTCACTATTCCAGTTCTTTCTTGTTGAGTGGGCTGGTCTGGGGCACATCGGTCTGTTTCTCGGGCCTTGGTTTACTTACAGAATAAACTGGCTGGGCCAGATGAATTTCAGGTCCCATGCATTTCTAAATCCCTGTAACTTTTAAACTGGAGAGCTCAATTTAGAGAATTTTAGATCAGATTTTAAAACAATATTGAGACAATATGTATTTTCCAAGAAATACTATTAAAGTAACAGATTAAGTCCATTAGTTTATCTAAATTAGATAAACTATAAAGTATGCCCCATAGTGGCAAAGGCCTGGGAGTTTCACATGTAATTTAAATGACCTGCTGTCAATATAGTGAGTGGGCTACACTCTTTAATTATTAAGCATTTTCCCCAAGAGGCCCAGAACAGTCCCTAAGCTGCCGTTTCCCGATACTACCAGAACCTACACCCCTCACCGTGGGGGAGAATTGCAACAAGTGGCGTGACTGGGATAGCCCCTTGCACGGGGCAGGCACCCGAGACCACAGCCACAACGCTTCCCACTTCAGAGACTCCTTCACCGGGCAGTTCAACTGTCATGTTTAACAACATGTGTTGTCAACAAAATATGAACCCTAACAAGTAAAAATGAAAAATGTGTAACTATAAAATCTGAGGAAACAATTTAGAGGTTGAGTTCAACAGAGACCAACAGTAGCCAGCCACGTGTAAAATGCCATTTTTTGGTTTATGTCCAACTACTGTGGGAGTGTCCTTTGAATTCTGGTAGAAGACACAAAGAAATCAGCAAACACTTCAAAAACAAGGCAAATTATCTCTCTCTAATAAAAGCCAGTCAATAACTACAAGAATAATCTATATACAGAATTGCTTTCATTGCTGAGATCATGTCACTTCTGCCACTGTGCTCAGTGGGTATGGTGAGCGGGGCAGGGAGTCAGTGTGGTGTCATGGGGCCACAGCCCCCCCTGCCCCAGCAGAGCGGGACCGAGAGAGCCCCAGACGGCTGGCGTGTTTGTCTGTCCCCTCGGCCTCCCTGAATGCTGACAGACCTCCAGGTGGAGCTTCATCTACCTGCTGGCAAGAGCACACACAGAGGAGCCACAGACATTTGCTTTTACAAGAGATAAGACAGAAACCTCATTACACACCACAAATAAGTGCCGCCGTATATGTACTGGGTTAGCTCCTTAGATTTTAATGGCAGTCAGTGGGCTGGTGTGAACTGGTGAGACCACGCACATGCGTGCTGTTAGCTGCAACGCAACTGGAGGTGCCCTTGGCCACGACAGCGATCATATTCTGGGACCCAGAAATGTTTTATAATTGTGGGAATCCATTATGTAGATGCTTTATAATTTATGCAATAAATTATGAAATATTTAACTGTACAGTGTTCTCCTCCTGTTGGTTATTCAGGTCGTTTCACTGCCTTCATTTCCTTTGGCTCGTGTACACAGTGGCAGGGCTGTTCTTAATGCTACAATCAGAGTGTAAAGAACCTAAAACAGGCAACGCTAGGGAAATGCTGGTTACACAGAGTATTTTGCAGCTATTAAAAATCATTACAAAACACGCCCCCACAGAGGGGGAAATGCCGACTGAAAACAGCGGACTGCACTGTTGTACCTGCCCTGAGGTTACGGCTTTGGAGCCAGAGCTAGCAGGGCGTGTGGAAAAGCCGAAGCAGCAGGTAGAGCTGGAGGGTGTGACGACTGTGAGCGAGCATGAAAAATTATTTCCATCATGATTGGGAAGTTGTGAAAAAAATCCTTCCACAGGCCAATGATTCTGCCCTCCTACGTACCCAGGATCAAATGACAATATAAAGAGCGCTGGGGGGTGAGTTCAAATTCCATAGAAATTACCTGCCAGCTGAGCCGGCACTGCTTGGAACGGCAGCTTTCGGAACACGTCCACCAGGGGCTGCACTTTCCTTACGCTGACCAGCTCGTGCTTGCCGTAGTCCAGCTCGTACACGGAGGCCAGCCCGTTGGTCAGGATTCCCTTTAGGAGCACCCTGTGCCACCTAAGGTGCCAAGGATTGAAAGGGAAGAAGAAACACAAAGTCAACGCCTGCCTTAAGGATAATATTTGATGGTAAAAAGAAAAATTACTGAGAATGCTGTCTACCCAAGTCTAAAACTGTACTACTGGACGTTTTTGAAGAGACTGCTTCTTCTTTTCCCAAAGGTTACTGTTGTATACTGGCTCACGCGAAGGAGTTGGCTCACTCCAGCACCTCTTTCAGGCCTCGTGGAGCTCAAGGAGAACAAAAGAAATGCCGTGCAGGACGATCAGGACGAGGCGGACCCCTCGGGGACCCTTCACTCCATTGGGGGGACAGGGGACTGCCACACATGTGGGACAAGTACGTGTGTGAAAGCGGGACCAGGCCAGGCTGAAGGCACACACAGGAGACAAGCAGAGAGGCTCCGCAGGGCAGGTGGTCTGGAGTGGAGCACGCACACACTACCGTGTAGCTGGGGGGTGGGGTGTGGGGGGGAACGGGAGAGAAAGTGAGACTGGGAGGGAGGCTGGGGAGAGATTACAAAAAGGAATGTAAACCTGACATGTGTAATTATGTCAAATAAAAACATTAAAAAACAAAACAAAATAAAACAAATCTAACCCACCACTTAAAGAGCCTGAAAAGGGTAAGAGTGCATGGAGGAAGATCCAAAGTTCAAGGTGTCAGAAATTCACACGTGTACTTTTCCCCTCTGTGTCTGTATCATTAAAATGAGAAAAACCTAGACTTCGGAGTTCAAGAATGAAGGGCCATTTTCGAGTCCTACAGTCCTGATTGTGAATAATGTCTAAAAGCAGAGGGTCTCTGGAGGCGGTCTCTGCTCCCGAATGCTCCGAGTCGGAGCTGCCTCAGGTGGTGGACCTGGACGCCCTTGGACACAGGTGTGTCAGGTCAAAGCCCAGAGGAACGGCAGGCCCTTCGCCGCAGCACACTGCTGGGCCGGGCTGGGCTGGACCGATTCCCCAGCCAGTGCGCACCCCGTGGAGAATGGCTACAGAAAACCTACGCAGCTGCTATAGGGTGAATTACAGTAAGAAAGCTACAGACAGACCAGCTTCAACACTGTCTGTCATTGGGGGCTTCTGGGGGAAACTTCGGAAACCTTCAGGTAAGGCCAAAGTGCAGCAGGCAAGAGCCCAGGAGTTGCAGAGACAACACAGACACAAAAAGGCATCATACAAAGTACGTAAGCACTTTGGGGGCTAAACTCCTGCGCTGAAGTCCCACCAGGCTAGGCCATTTTCCAGCTCCATACCCTGCACTCTGTATTTATTCTCTGAGCCTGTTATCTCAGAGGTAGTACTTAATTTTAATTCATTTGCAGAAATAATATACGCAAAGCGTCTAACCTTTAGGCACTTGGCAAATGGTAGCCATTATTAATATTATAATCATTATTTACAAAAAGGTAAGCTGTGGAAATATAAGGACTTCAGACCAAATTAAAGAGAATTTTCCATATGTGGAAATGCCAGTTTGGTGCATGTTGCTAATTTATTTAAGTACAAAAAGACATGAAAACATTTGGTTTCCACCAACTGCAATGTCTTTACATCATACAGAGGGAATTACAGTGGTCTGTGCTCTCAGTCTATGAATGAGAAGCACAGAGCAGTGAGCAGAGGGCCATCGGAAGACTCACAGGTTGTGCTTCTACTTAGCTTTCAAGTTCCAAACTCACAGCAGATTTCCAATGTCGGTGCAAGGCTGCTTGTGAATCGCCTGGAGAATCTGTTAAAAACACAGATTCCAGAGTTCCAGCCCCTAGAGACTTCGAATCAGGGTCTCTGGGGTGAGAAAGGAGAACCTCCACTTTTAATAGGTTTTCCAGGTTATTCTTAGCTGAAACAGATTTGTAAAGCCCTGTAATAAAAAAATCTATTCAAAATTCCTACATCTTAACTGACCATAGTTGGGAACAAGGTTTAGTAAACAGTCCCGGGTTGTAAGCAAGATAGAAACTCTGACATTTTGCATTGATTCAGTTCACACAGTTTTTAAAACTTTTTAGGTAATCTGTTCTTATCTATAAGACATCCCTTGTTCATCTAGGGACAAATTAACTGAATAGAGCCCAAGCAAGAGTCCTGGGGCAGAACTGCTAGGCACTCGGAGGATTGGGGCGGGGGTGGGGGGTGGTGGTGCTGGAGTCTGAAGCCCCAGCCACAGGCTCCAGTTTGTCTCCTCCCCTCGAGAACTCTGGCCTCCAAATAGGGCCCACCTCTCCCCACTAATTATCTTTAATCCACTCCTCAGATAACAGGTAACAGCAGTTTAACTGTGATTAAGCTAGCCTACAAAGAATTGCGACTGGGGCAAATTAACACCAATAATGTTCCTGTACTGAATTAAACCCATTCGTGCTATGATTATAACTAACTTGACACAGTAAAAATGTTTTCTTGAAGATGAAAAGCTTGTAACATATAAGTTGAATGCTTTTCAGAATGACAGCTACTACACTTTTGACTTTTAAGAGTCAAATTTGACTTCTAAATTGGGTTTTCTTCTTCCATGAAAATAACAGAATTTTATAAATGCCTATACTTGCTATTTTAAAGAACAGAAGCATTTCATAGAACAAATAAGCAGTCTGACCTTTCGAGCGTGTGTGTTCATGTGTGTTCTTGGGTGGAGGGGAGACAGCTCCTTGTTTTCAGCATCATCAAAGGCGTTTGGTCATTTCCCCTCAGAAAACTGTCCGAGGGGACAGGCCAGGGACCGCTGGGCTGTTGTCCAGGGCTTCTGTGGCCGGAGAGCAGAGTGCAGGGGCAGTGCGAGGGCTCCACTGGGTCGAAACCACAAGTGCCTCAGGAAAGGAGGCGGCGGACCCAAACGTGCAAACATGAGAAACCGACAGAAGCGCCAAGCAAACGCAGGGAGCTACGGTTCTCACTGTCCCGCGGCCAAAGCCAGTGAAAGAGGCACGGCCGCACCTTGTGAAGGTGGCGCAGGCCCCCTAGGAAGCAGCTGACAGTGCGTATCAGGAACCTGTCAGCAAACGGGTTTCCTCTTTCAGGGAATCTATCCCACGAATAAGCGGAGATGTGAACAAGGGTAAGGTCTGGTTGGCTGGTTTTAATTTTGTGTACTTTTTTGTATTTTTAAATCTTTCTACAATAAAAATCTTAGTTTTAAAATTAAAGGTTATTAAATTAAAAACATTATTTTATGAATAAGCAAATATTGTTTTCCAACAGAAAAGTAGAAAACAACATTTAAACCTTCACTTCAGGTACGATTAGCTTTCAACAGGAATGTGGTCACTAGATTTTTAAGTAAATGACATAATTCTAAATATTAGAAAATGGCATGATTCATCGGTCTCACTTCACATTCAAAATTCCCATTTGTGTGGTTGGACGTCCCCCTGCGGGGATGACGGGCTCTCATCACCGCTCTACACACTTTTCCTAGGGGTAGAAACGCTTTGCCCGAGGACCTACTTGTTTTCCACTTTGGCAGCGTACACTTGATCTTTTTCCATGGTCACGTAGCGCTCCTTAGACACACTGTAGTACAGAATCATCTCTTCCATCAGCACTTCCAGCTTATGTATCTCCTGCCATGGCTGGATGACAAAGTAGCCGGGGTGACAGGCCACAGGCACATACACATCCATGTATTCCCCCGGCTTTGGCAGGTGGACAGGGGGCGGCAGTTCCTCCGTGGAGCAAGAGCAGGTGGGATCCGCCGTGGGCTTTTTGCTGCCATCCGTGAGGCGCTTTCTGACACTGTCTTCCGTGCTGCTCGCAAGGAGGGTGTTGCCACCCCTGCTGTCGGCAGAGCCAGCCCCGCTGGAGAGGCTGCTCAGAAACACGTCCTTCTGATGCTTCCACAGGTCTGCATTCGTAATCTGACGGTTAATGCTGCGGTGAGGATCAGGGAAGTTCTTAGGAGTAAATAAATAAACGTGCGCGATCCCTCTGGTTTCATCCACTTTTGTAACCTTTGGAGAACAAGAAATACCAATTTGAGATCCAAATTTACATTACGTTCTGAGAGGTGGTTACAATATTGATGTTAAATATTAAAACATGGCATTTTGCAAAAAAAGAGACCCAACTAACTTAAAGTTCTTTTATTTCAGGTCAGATGAATTATCCGTCACAGGAGCAGTGAATGAGCTACAGTCTAGAGACAAGCGGCCAGATTATGGGAGTGAAAATGGACTGATTTTGAAAATCTCTGAGAGCACTTTATAACCTGCTAGGAGTCATTATCACTGAAAGGAAGTGATTCTATATGTCATGATTAAAATGTTTTTTATTAATGACATTTTAAAATACTCAAAATAGAAAGAATAGTATGATGAATCTCCATGTCCTCATCACCCACCCGACTTCAACAATAGCTAATAATCGCAACACTGGCACAGCGTTCTGTAAGCAGCCTGTCTAAGGCTGGTGTGCTCTCCAGCTGCGAGGGAGGAGAAAGCTTTGACATTCACTGTGCCCTCCAGGACCCTCTGGCCCACGTTCCTTATGTGGTCCTAATATGGGTCCTTGCCGCTCACCCCCTCCCCCTGTTGTGAGGGAGAAGAGGGATCTTGGGAGTAAAAGAAGAAGAGAGCTCCAGGCTAAAACTGCAGTTCTGCACCTCTGCCCAGGAGACCTTCGCCCACCTGCTCTCTCTATCAGAGGGCTGAGTGTCTGCATGAGAATACCATCCATCAAAAACTGGGCCTGCAATGCCCTGTGTCCCCAAGGGCTGGGGGACGGTTAATTCTTCTCCTCAGCTCCTCTGGTTTATCTTAGAAATGACAAAAACGAGATGCCTTCAGCCACATCTATTTTTTATTGAATTAGGCTAGAAATGAAAGGCAGAGACACGTGCAAGGCAATCCTCCCACAGTAATTTACTTAAAAAATATTTTTCCGGCAAGATGAGTTTATTTAAATTTATCATTTAAAGTGCTAATGATGTACTGACTGCTAATTCATCTTGATTTATGATATACAAATGCCATTTCAATAATCAGCATTAAAATGCCCTGGTTTTAGGAGCTGAAAAAGCAGCTGAGAAAATAATATTCATTATCATGCATCAATTAAAGAGTATAAAATGGTATGTAATTAAGTGTGTAACTGTACATTATAAATCCAAGAGGAGTATGAAGATAGGAAAATCAGTGAGCTAGAATAATTGAGATCTTCATGAAGATACAAGAAGGACATTTCATTGTTAAATTCTCACACAAAATGACAACACTATTTGCTTCTGTTAAAACAGAGAAATACCACTTTACGTTTCTATTCGTGGAAATATGGGCCACATGTGTGATATGAACATGCGAAAGTACAGACAAAACCGGCTAGTGAAATAAAGCAGTTTATGAAACCTTTAGGGAAAAAAGGGCAAAAACCAAGGTTATAAGCAAATAATTTGTTTATAATCTATTATACTCCGGAGAAAAGAAATACAGGACTTACATGATTTTTAAAAACACGTATCAAGAGATGTATGTGGGGCCCTCTGTTGGGCACTTACTGTAATTCCTCATCATGCTGTAAACCAGGCTCAGAGAACCACATCTGCTACCTTCATGATAATGGGAGCATTATATACAAGATTTAAAACAGTACTGGAGATACAGAGTAAATTCTTAAAATTAAACAATGAAATGTCTCCTCACTACACATGTAACAATGTCTTAACTACAAAAGTGTGTCAGGTGTGAAAGCATCAGTTTACAGTAAGATAAAATTTGATAAAATTCTCTTATAAAAACCAAATGAGCCCCTAGGGCTGACAGCTCCCTTCGAGATCTATCAAGGCCAGTAAGATAACTAACCTTGATGCTACAGTCTGAGCAATTCAAAACAGAGTCTCTTAACCACAGCACAGCATCTGGCGTCCACATGCCCATAGATTGCGGAATATCTGCTAAGCAGCACTTGATAGCCTGAAAAGAAAACACGGTGGAAAAGTCAACACTTAAAATAGGTACTTACGAGTAACGTCAGTATTATTTTCCTGCGAGTCAGATGCTGCCAACACAGAGAGCAATGATGAAATAAGCCACAGCTAATGATGACAATCAGCACTCAGGCTGAAGCATCCGCTTTACTCCTGGCTCTATTTATATTACCATTATTATCCTCCTCACTCCCATTACACGCCAAGGCTTACCCCAGGCATGGCGTGTACTTCTCACTCTACAACACTCCTGCTTGACAGGCAGGGTGACAGCACCGCCTTACAGATGGCGAAAGGGACCCAGAGAGACTATCAGATCACACAACCAAAAAGAGAGCCCTGGGACTTACAGCCAGGTCTTCCCTCTAAACCTAACTGGACAGAAAAAGTGTCAATTGGACAAAAACTGACTCCTGTTGCAGAGACCTTTTCAGAGGCTTGTGCGCGTCACCCAGCATTTCCTGAGGACCGTGTGGGTGCCGGCATCTGTGCTCGCCTTTGGAGGGAGATCGTAATGAGAATCAAGAAAACAGTGAAATCCACCGATAGTGAAAAGCCTCATTTTCCCCAGTGCTCTTTGCCTTCACCATCACCGCACAAGCTTTTGCAGAGTGGCCGCATCAGCGAGTCAAAGGTGACCTCAGGGACCCCCTGCAGTCTCACAGAAACCTGTGAACTGATGGAGGCAATTCTGTGAAGGGAACGAAACCTACTTCCAGGATCCCTGATTCCTTCTCTCCCCTCTGAGCCCCATCCTCCCTGTCACGCCCTCTGCCTTGGGGGGCTCCAAGTCTCTCCCTGCGCCCCCTGGATGAGGCTGCACACTCCATGGTAATGAGGGATGGAGAGGCCAGGTGGGGCCAGCGCCCTGGGCAGCAGGCCCTGCGGGGGAAATGCCACCTCCCCAGCTCCCACAAGTACTGCCCCATAAAGGAGAACACTCGATGCTGTCAGACTGTCTGCTTTGTCAAGAGAAGCTAGAAGTAGAGATTTTTGTGTGCAATTGTCTGATTTTTAAATCCCGGCAACTGATTCGAATTTTAAAACACTGCAAGACCCAAGAGCCCAAACTCAGTATTCACGGGTCAGCTTTGGCCAGCAGGCCATCGGCTTGCTGCTCTGACTTCGGCCTCTTGGGGAGATGCTGTTAGACAGAGGCTTGGCCTTGCTGTCCTTTAAAGTTCCCCCAACTTTGTAACTATTGAACAATGAATATAGGTAAAATTAACACAAAAAAATTTGTCATGGCTTTTAATGCTGTAGCTCAAAGAAGGTATATTGTGTGACTTTCAGAAGCAGTGAGATGGGGTCCCTCACGCCCCCCCTCTAGCTGGGGGTCTTTTCTAGAAGGCCGGCCCTGGGGGAGGTTCTAACAGGGGTGCAGAAGCCAGAGGTGCTATCAGGTGAAAGGAGCACCTGAAGGTCTAACAGTTCTCAGTATTGCTGGCTGAGCACCAACGTAAGTGACTTGGAAAACTGGCTTGATGACAAGCTGGACAGCTTCTAACAGTCACGCTTTAGAAAGGGCAGTGGCGGCTGCAGTGAGAGGAACTAGGAAAGCCGTGCTAACTACAGGCATGTGCTTTCCATTCAGTGTGTTTTCGTGGCACAAGGCATCTTCTGGTCCAAGAAGCTGTTTAAAATGACAGAATGTCAAACAAGTTGACTTTCAACAAATGGTTAATTTCTATATAAAATCCTCTACTTCTCCTAAAGGTGGGAAATAGTTCTTAACAATTTTAATTAACTCAAAATAGTTCAAAATTCTTATCATAAATTTTTACCAATAGAGGAGGGACAAGCCAAAGTTAATCTTTTTACTAAAATCTATGAGGGTAACATCATATAAGAAAATGATTAAACATAAACAGATTTCAAAAGAGAATGGTTACCTAATTAAACTAGGAACTTGGGGGGGTAGATGCTGACATGCGCTACCCTGAAGCTGAATAGAAGTCAGCACCAGTTATATCGTATTAAAATATCAACAGAACCTCTAACCTGCAGTAACCTAACAACTGCACATACACACACATGCGTCCAACAGTGTCCCGTGAGTCCGACTGGCCTGTCTGCGCCAGCTGAGCCGGACATGCACCTGAACCCCAGAGAACAACCACACTCAGGGCATTTCAATCTGGCGACACGCGCAGGCTCTGGTGGTTGGCAGGGTCACAGTGGAGAGGGCACCTCACACGCGACCACAGACACATTCTGATCTCTCCCAGCACACAGTACCTGCGACGGGATTGCGATCATTTCGTGTAGAAACCGAGAGGGGATTTCCCTGAGCTCAGATATTTTCACAGATGTCACGGTGCCGGTGTCCAGGAACTGGACATCCAGAGTCCGGCTGCTGTGAACGTTCATGACCTGCAAGGACACAAGTGTCGCCCGTTTACCAGCACGTCCTGAAGATAAGGACAGCTCTGTGCATTACATTAGGCACAACTCTAAACTGCAGAGAAAGACGACAAAGACTTCTGTTATTCAATTTTCTCTTATTTTAAAATGTACTTACAGGTATTTTTTTAGAGTAGAACAACATCTAGTTAATTTATATAATTAGTAATAATCAGTAAACTAGTAATAATCAGTAAAATTAATATAGTAATATTCACTGTTTTCAATTCTAGGGTACTATTGCTTATAAAACAATTTGATACATTATTATACATTGCTGATTATAAGATGTAGTATGTTCTCCAAAATATTAAAATGTGAGGAAAAAACTACTGTGTCTTAGCAATGAGGAAATAAAGAATAAAGAGAATTCAGGGAATGTATAGAGTAAGTTCAAAATATATAGTTACCACATAAAGCTTAGACGTGTCAAGAACAAATACATCATTTAAACACAGGATCTGCTTTTAATTAATTATTTTTCCTTAACTTCTATGTATCTCTAAAAGAATGAGCAGTTTTGCTATCTCAAAGGTAGACAATACACAATTTGAGAGTAACAAAAATAACAGTAGCACTGGCTGGTGTAGCTCAGTGGATTGAGTGCAGCCTGCGAACCAAACCACCAACGTTCGATTCCTAATCAGGGCACATGCCTGGGTTGCAGGCCAGTTCCCAGCAGGGGACATATGAGAGGCAACCATACATTGATATTTCTCTCCCTTTCTTCCCCTCTAAAGATAAATAAATAAAATCTTTAAAAAAAAACTAGATATCCATTTAAGTATTTGAATATTTGCAGAAAGGTGTTTTTGCCAAAATGTCATAGCCTGGTTCTACATATGAAGAAACTCAAGTTGAGGGATACCCTAAAAGACACCACTATTCTTTAAAGGGCCATGAACAACGAAGAAAGAGCAAGTGCCAGGTTGGAGAAAATGGAGAAGACACGACAACTAGTTACAACTTGGGATCCTGGGCCAGAAAAGAGACATTGAAAGACCACCTGGGAAATGTTGATAAGTTCTGAAGATTAGTTAATAATAATATTGATGTTAATTTTCAGCTTTGATAATGGTTATTTAAAATGGTAACATTTGGAGATGGTCAAAAAGGGACATTTAGAAACTCTAAACTATTTTTGCAACTCTCTGAAAGTTTGAAATTATTTCAAAATGGAAGTTTAAAAAGTTAAGTATTCATGCATTTCTACATCATACACTAAACATCACAGAGCTTTCAAATTCAAATAATGCTGTGTTCTTTTTAACAAGCCATGTTTTTGAAATTTATATCTTGTTCATATAAGAACAACCCTTGTTCATATAACCCTAGATCTCAGCCTTCTGACATACATTCAGGTTAATGGTAATAATTTCTTCAAAATTGGTGCTTTCATTAAAGTAGACACGATCAAGTTTTATTTAAATAAAATCAGTATAATTAAGTTCTCAAATGCTGCTATGCAATATTAAAAAGTCAGTAAAGCAATGGTTCTTACCTTCTTAGTGCTGGTTTCTTTAAAAATCTTATGAAAACTATGGACACTCTCCATAATTTTCTGCTTTTCCAACAGGAAAAACAAAAAATAAAATAAAATAAAATCAGGCCCAAATTTGCAACTTTAGCTATTGGGCAAACTAGATATTGAATATATATATAGAGAGAGACAGAGAGGAGAAAGGAAGGAAAGAAAGGAAGAAAGGAAAGGTAAAAACAAAAAAGCCCCTCATACTTGAAAAACATATAGAAATATATGATAGGCCCTGTGAAAAACATGTAGAAACATATGATAGGCCCTGCCTGGGTAGCTCAGTTGGTTTGAACATTGTCCTGATATGCCAAGGCTGAGGGTTCAATTCCCAAGTCAGGGCACACACACAAGAATCAACCAATGAATGCATAAATAAGTGGAACAACAAATCGATGTTTCTCTCTCTAAATCAACAACAATTTTTAAAGATAAATATATGATAAAATATAACAAACCTTTCAAATTCATAACTGAGCTTCCAAGAAAATAAGACAGTGATCAGGGACTGGAGTAGAACTGCCTGGGACCACTGAAGCCGAAGCCACCCGGGCAGGAGGGGGGAGCACTGGGGCCTCCGCAGAGAAGCTGGACCCTCACAGGGCTGCGGCTTCTGCGGAAGGGTGACTTTGGGGAGACACTAAGGCACTATCCAGTGACGCTGAAGACAGTGAAGTTGAGGTTGAAGATAAGTGTTTCCTGTAGCCAGAACTTCCATTCCTACATATGTACCTGGGGGACATGCACGGGAAGGGCCCTGGTAACGACCACGCTGTTTACAACAGAAAGCGGGAAACAACCTAAACACCCGCAGTCAGGAGAATGCGGTGGTACTGCCTGCACAGCCCACGCTGTCACATCGCACGGCAAGAAAACAAATGAACTGCAGCTGCACATGCTCACGCGGATGAAACTCCCAGCGGTAAAGAATGAAAGGCACGCCCAGAAGAACCAGCGCACTTTACTATTTAATATATATATTTAAAACATTTATTCATTTAGTTACACCTTCTTCACTTATTTTTACTATAAATGTTTCATATATATGTCCGTGTCTATATTTCTGTTGCCTCCACATGAAAATACGCAGATAATAAAGGTGTGTGTATAGCCACAGACACAGTGAAAGTGTAAGGAACGGACGGGAACGAGAAACGCCAACTGCAGCCGGCAGCTCCCCCAGGGGTGGGATGCACAGAGCGCACTGGCCGTGCTGGTCAGACTACATTTCTCAAACTGCTTGTTCCACTGAAAAAATTTGTTTGTATGTCTGAAATATTTCATAATAAGTTTAAAAAAAGTCACCCTGACCAGCATGGCTCAGCTGGTTGGGAGTCGAACTGCAGGGCAGAGGGTTGCCGGTTCGATTCCCAGTAGGACACATGCCTGGGAAGGGAGCATGCAAGAAGCACCTGACTGATGTTTCTCTCTCACATCAGTGTTTCTCTCCCTCTTTTCCTCCCTCTCTTGCCCTCTCTCTAAAGAATAAATAAATAAAATCTTGGGAAAAAAGTCAAGTGACTGATTTTACCTCTACTCGTAACCACTTTCCTTTGCAATGGATGAGGCAGATTTTCCCACAGAAGGGCAAGGAGACGAAGTACTCTGAGGTCACGTGCTGCAAAACAGAAGTGCACGACACTTTTATCACTCCCGGCGAAGAGCCCGCTGCTACCCCGCGTGGCCCGGGCTGGCTACCTTGCCCACATGCCACCGGGATGCAGCGCATGCCCGGGGCGTGGAGGCCTCTGCACCGCTTCCCCACATCTGCCGACGGCAGTGATCTACCGGCACGTGGCGCATAAATCACCCCTTTGAAGTGTCTAAAAATATTAGCCTGGACGTCAGTGTGACTCATCCAAGCTCTGGCACCATCAGTTAACCATGAAGAGGATGATGAACCTGACAAAGAGGAGAACAGCTTGGATGAAAAGTGAGGAGGCTGGGCTAGCTGTCAATAGGTCTCTTTTTGGAATCTTTGAAGATTTAGATTCAAAGATGGGATTTTAGTTCCAAAACAAATGTCACCAATACAAATGTGGATGCCAGGGCCAGTGAAGTGGCAACACATCACGGCTGTAGGCCTCCTCACCCTCCTCTGCTGCTGCAACCTGACGCTGGGGCCCCCGCCAGTCTCCTTCCTCCAGGTGAATGTGTTCTTCCCCACAGGCAATGTCTCCACTCGGGTTACAAGAGCACCAGGGACTACTGAGAGTGCCCTCCACTGCCACAGGTTATGAGCACATCAGCCTCTCTGGGTGTCTCAGATCTACAGACTAGCAAATCCAACCTAGGTAATGACCTTGAGATACATCTAAAACATCTATAACACACAAAGAGGAAATCTATAGGTCTAATGCCTGAATTCTATGCTATAGTCTGAAAACAGGCTTCACCTGAGTCAGCAAAAACTTTGAAACGCCTATTCTATGCAGGACACTGGATTAGGCACTATAGCACCTAAATGGATTAGGTGCTTACCAGTGAAGTTCAGTCTCTGCCCCCAGGAAGCCTACACTCTAGTAAGACAACCAAATACCCAAATGGCTAAAATATAGTACTGCATAAGTGCCACGAGGCCCTCACTGTGCTTGGCAGGTTGGAGGCAAGGGGTCACTCCCAGGGCGAGGGGGTCAGGGGTGGAGTGGCACTCAGAAACCACAGCATACTCTGGGTCATGACTATGCTGTGCTAATGGAGCTAAAGAAATCACCTTAGAACCTTAAAACGAACCCTCTCCATATCCTGATTCAGAAAAGAAAACTAGACTGAAAGGGTAAGGAGCTTATTAATCATTTTAAACTGCAGAACCTCATTTACTGAGGTGGCAGCTTCCCAGAGACCCTAGAGAACTTGGGAGTGATGCCTTGGAAGTTTTATTCTCCTAAATCTGTGGTTTCCTCTTTGTCCAAAGCAGAGGAGCCGGCTGGCTCTAGCAGACAGAGACACAGGCAGCTGCATTGTAGGACCATCACCCGCACCTTGTCAGGGACACATCCATCAGTTGTTGAGCACTTACGATACACCAGGCACTGTGCAAATTAAGCAGGCTTGCAGCCTGTTCTCATGACACTCCTATGGGTACACACTACGACTACCCTCATTTCACAATGCAGAAACCAGTGGTGGGAGCATTTGCTTTGTTTTGTTTTAAAGTATGCAGTCTGTGGCTCTCACCCACTATTCTAGAAGTTCTACCTCAAACTATTCAAAAGTTATTCACACCGAGACAAATTTAGTGACCACTCTTATCTGCAATCTTAGGACCAAGTTTAGAGGTACATGATGCTCTGCCATACCTTACAACGGAAGTAGTCCTCTATCTTATGCAGGACATCGTTGAGCTTGTTCAGACCCTTGCAAGGCACCTGGCAGTAGAGGGTGCCATCAGAGCAAATATTAGTCACCCTGACATTGGTGTACATAGCGTCAACCTGCAACGAACAAAGACATGCGGGAGGCTTGAGAACAGAGCATAGGAGTGCCTCCCTAAATACCTCATTGAAAGTCTCTGCATTTTAAAACCTTCTAAGTTGGAGCATGGGTACCACAGAATAAATTTCATAACTTAAATGTGAAAAGCTAATTTAGATACCTCTTTCTCCAAAAGGAGTATCTGGTATCATTTATGTCAGGCACAAAGTAGACTTTTTGCATACATTAACTTATTAACACTTTCTATCGTCTGAAAAGCTGAGATTGTCCATAACTTTAGTTTATTTTCTCCCCATCAATTTAGGGGAAACAACTATTACATAAAACATATTTTTTTGCAACACTAACAGAAATGAAAATAAACTCTCACCAAATCACTCCCATTATCAGCCTACTTTCTAATCTGTAGCCATAGTCCATATGAATTTTAGAAAATTTTAAAAAATTTTAATTATAGTAAAGGTTTAATTTTAGCTATCTTTAATTAAATCATAATATAAAATAACTTACTGTTGTTCTACTTATTAAAACACATATTTTCCTAATGTTGCTATGAAACCTCTAAAAGGCTTATTTTTAACATCTCATCCTATTATTTAGAATGGCTGTTCTATAATTTAAGTTTTCTTCTTTGCAGACATGTATGTTTTCACATTTTAAAAATGTTAAAGCTAATAATTTAATAAACATCTTCATTAATCTAACTTTCCCTTCTTTTATAATATCTTCCTCTATTATCTTTGCAAAGTGATTTCATATGAAATTAATACATGCTTATTGTAGAAACTGGAAAATAAAACAAAAATCCAATTCCTAATACTCACTATGTGGGTTTTGGCATTTTTCCCACTTCCAGTCTTTCTTCCCCTTTTTCTTAATACACGCATAATCTATCTCTATCAGGTGTTAGCCTAAAATTTGTACCATTCTTTTCTGATAACTTTCTTTGCTTTGATATGTATAACACTTTGACAAGAGCGGTCACAGTGGTACCTGAAGGTGAACCTCCAGTGACTTGTCACATATGGCCTTTAAGCAGGTGGCATTGACATTGATATCATCTTCTCCTGAGGTATCATACAGAACAACAAGTGGAACATCAGCTTTTTCAAGGATTTCCACTGCAAAGATCTTTCCACAAGTTAAAGATTCAACCACCTTCACTAAACCAGGATCATCGCTTAGAGCTTCCAACCCTGAAAAATATTGAATATTTTAATTTCTACTTAATTAGCAGAATCATTTTAAGATGGATTGATTGTGTTTGTTATGCTACTTCTTATAATTATTACAAAATTTTAAAATTTTATAGGGAAGCTTTGTTTTATGATCTCTTTCACATGACCCGCCCTTAGGTTTTAAGATATATACTGTAATATATATAAATGTGGAAGCCTTTTTGAATGATCACACTAAGGCAGGCAATTTAAAGCAGGAAGAAAAAGTGACGATCAATCAGAATTTCCTCCTTAGGAGACACAGCCTTCACTTTGCATACAAACAGGCACTTAAAACAAAAGTGTAATACGTGAAAGAAGCTATCAATCAATTGTGTCTGCCAGGTATGTATCGGGAATGTTCTGCCTAAAAATATACCCTTTACTTTTCATTTTCTAATTAAATATGCACAATAATTTCTTTCATATAAAATGAACATGAATTTAGCGGAAATTTAGACAACCACCCTTTGTTCCTTTTTTCCTTTCTTCCTCCTTTTTTTAAGTACACTACAATGATGGCCCTAAAGATACCAAAAATTTTTCTGATTTACCACAGAAAGCTTAACATGATACAGATACAGGTGCATTTTTTTTTAGTCTAATTATTCTTTAAATTCTTTGAAAGCTGTAATTTTATGTACCACATATATGGCAACTTCAGGTTACTCTAGTACACTAATTAAAACAAGGTCATGTTTCCCCAGCACGCATTTCTGTATTCATCCCCTCTGCGTCCATAAGCAGAAGCCCACCGGCTCCCTCGAGCCCCCCGTCTCTCGTTCTTGCTTTGTCCTCCAGACACACGACTTTACTACTGTTATCAAACCTTCCATTCCAGCACTAACTCTGGTCCTGTGCTCTTGATAAGTTCTTTCCAGAACTAACTCCCACTGGTCTGTAACAGGCTTTCAAAATAACTTGAGGTTTATCTCACAGATAGAGCCAAACCCAGCTCCTCGGTCAGAGAGATTTAGCCCTGCTGGGAAGGAGGGATCAGTTCATGGGGCTAACTTTTAGGAGAGAATTTGGATCATTTTCTGAATTTAGCTCAGGCCCTCTTGGCATGATGCTCACATATTTCAAGGTCTCTCTTCACCACCAGCAGGGCCACTGCAGCCCCCACACCTTCAGGACACCCCTACAACGTCTCTCTCACACATGTGTGTTCCTCTGAGTGTTCTTGAGGAGGAAGAAGAGGACAGGGATACACTGACTATGCCAGAGACTGAACGTGCCCTGGAGCCAAACTCGGGTGGGCGCACAAGGGTGTGTTACTTGGCAATGAGCAGCACCCACAGAGTCCATCTCACTGGGAATGAAGCTGGGAGTCACTTCAAAACAGGCTGAACAAGACAATTTATTTATTTATTTATTTTAAATATATTTTATTGATTATGCCATTACAGTTGTTCTATTCCCCCCTTCATTCCCCTCCACCCTGCATACCCCTCCCCACCATTCCCCCCTTTAGTTCATGAACATGTGTCTCAAGTTCTTTAGATTCTATATTTCCATACTATTCTTGCCCTCCCCCCTGTCCATTTTCTACCTACCGTCTATGCTACTTATTTTCTGTACCTTCTCCCCCCTTCTCCTCCTCCCACTCCCCTGTTGCTAACCCTCCATGTGATCTTCATTTTTATGGTTCACTCCTGATCTAGCTGTCCTCTTAGAGTTTGCTTTTGTTTTAGGTGTGGTTCTTAGTAACTGTGAGTTTGCTGTCCTATGACTGTTCATCTTTTTTATCTTCTTTTTCTTAGGTAAGTCCCTTTAACATTTCATATAATAAGGGCTTGGTGATGATGAACTCCTTGTATTTGATCTTATCTGAGCAAGACAATTTAAATTGAGCAAATTCCCTGCTGCATGGCCTGCAGCACTTGTTACTAGATCAGTCAGAAACACAACAAAAAGACCATTTCAGATGGCCAATACTTTTTATAATAAAATAAATGTTATATATAACAAAATATAAAACATTGTAAAAATTTTATAATAATCATGCCTTATAAAGACAATATTAGACATGAATTTATTTATGCCTTTCCTTTGACATATGTAATATACTTTTTAGGATTTAACCAGACAGTATAATGGTAATAATGTATCAAAATAAAAAGAGCTTTCGAAATAGTTCCTCTTACCTGCTAGCTTACACTTTGTAGCTTGGAATGAGAGTGAACAGAACTTTGGGTTCAGCTGGTATGCTTTGCTCTTGTCAACATTTTCACTAAATCCATAGTCAACATAGCATACCTAATGATAACAAGAACAATATTTAGGTTCAAATAAAAATTTTCATCCTCCCTTTTTAAGGAATCGCTTGTTACACGAAACTGGTTCCATTTTATTACATAGTCACCACTTAACTGGCACCATGCTACCCGGGAAATGCCAGGGCAGGAGCCCCCTCTCAGCCCAGAAGAGAACGGCTGGGGCTGGGACCAGGGGCCAGGGCCCCTGCCTTCCGGGCCGCACTTCTCCACGACCCCTTTCCAGTGGGGAGCAAAGGGCCGTCCGCTGAGCTCTGATACCCTGCTGTCACCAGCTTCTCAGCGATAAACCCATCTGCTCCTGCAGCCCTGACTGCCCCACCCTTTTGTTCATATCGTAAGCTTGTCTCATCTTATTCCTTCTTGATGTGCACACTTCCACTAAGGATCTGTATTTGTTTCTAGAAGGGGAGTCACTCTGGTGACTCCCAGATTCTAAATTCCCAAGGCAGCATTCACGGTGGCTGCTCTGGGCTAGAATACTGCCAGGGACCGAGATGCTTTCTGTCACTGACAACAACGATGTCATGGCTGGATAACCCTGGATTCTACACTGTAAGAACACATACTTATTTGTTTGCTTTTTTCCAGGGCGTGAGGCTGGGTCAGGCCCTCATCCAGCTCAGCAAAAGCCCAAATCTGCTGGACAGAGTTCTGCATTTGCAGAAACTTCCATGACAGACACTTCCTCACGATTAGCACAGATCATTAGGCACCTGGATATTATTTTTAGAGTATTAGTAAAACCTCCAGTTGAAAAGGATTCTACAAAGACTTTTTAGATTTAAAAAAATCTAGAAACATTAAGCTGTGGTTTAGAACGGTAACTAAGAATCTGAAGGAAAGTGTTAAAAACCTTTTATGCTTCTTTAGTTAAAGCAGATGACTTATTACAAAAACAAAGTAAAACAAATCCAGGGCAAAGAAAGACTAAGCAAGAGAGAGTTTTACTTTCCGTAGCAAAGTTCCCGCCTAGATTATGGCACTAAATCACACACACACACACACACACACACACACACACACACACACTCTCTCTCTCTCTCTCTCTCTCTCTCTCTCTCTCTCTCTTCTCTGCAGGGAGTCGAAGGAAAGTAAGAACAGAGAGCCCACCAAGGCCTTTCCCTGACCGCCTGACAACTGCACCTGTGAAGCGTGCACACCGCTCCCTCAGGCCCAGCTCTCGGCAGGCCCCCCTCTCCGGGCAGCCAGCCATTTCCACGGACAGGTCCAGCCCTCCAATCTCAGTTGCACCTGAGCTTCTTCCCCACAGGCCTCAGGATTCAGGCAGCTTTTGTTACCTTCCATGGCTACCACCACCTACAACTTAGACCTCAAGTGGAGATCACATGGCCTGACAATAGGATATAGAATGTGAAGTCGCAATTCCTGGGAAATGCAGGATATATTCCTAGCGCTGACAGACTAAAGAACTGCCCTACAATCTTCAAAGGGCTTCTGTGTTTAGAGCTTGCTTGTCCCTCCCTCCCTCCCTCCCTTTTCTTCCTTCCTCCCTTCCTCCCTTTCTTTTTTTAATCACAATAGCATATATTTGTAAGGCAGATGACGTTTATAAAGCATCTGCCCGTGGACTGGCCAGCTTGACTCTCCACACTACCCTGTGTCCTCTGCCCTATAGTGTTTCTTGAATGCGTTGGGAATCAGGTACTAATAGGCTCAAAATCCTGCTGTGGGCCGCAGTCTATTCCTGGTTCTCTGGCACCATCAAGTGGCCAAAAGATCTCAAAGCCACCTGAGTAATAACCAGCAGACACACCCAGGACATGGGTCTAGGTCAGGCCAAACTGGCACCAATCTCAGGAGGTGACTGCATATTCCTGTTTCTCATCCCAAGGTCTGCAAAGAGGTCACTAGTACTTGCTCTCAGGCACAGTACCATTCAAGAGAAACAAGACTTGCTAAGTAGCAGAGTTTCTCCAGGTAAAAGAAGGAAAAAAGGCCTCTCAGGCTCGTCTGATGTGGGGAACAAGATCAGATAAGAATTGCTGTAACTACTGCTGTATTAAGACCTTAAAACTATACAATATACCAAGCCACCCTTTTTATTCCTTTTTATCCCAGCTCACAGCTCTCAGCAGAGTGAAACAGCTGGTTGCTCCCTACCTTTGGAAGGTACCCCTGACGCTGGCCCTCTTGGTTTTCCTTCTTCTTCACCATTCTTACCATCTTCTTGTCCCTCTCCTGGCCACCACCTAAACGCTGAAATGTTTCGGGGCCTGGTTCTGGGTGCCCTTCTCTTCTCTATGGGTAGGTATTCTTTCTCTAGGTGGTCTTTACCCGGTGCCACGGCATCAAGTAGCTCCTCTAGACCGGGGCCTCCCAACCGGATATCTTCCCATCCCAATTTCTGTCTGAGTCCCAAATCCATCCATGTGAATCTGGTAGCTATTCCCAAGCCCAACAGGACCTACGAAAATTACTGATCCTATGTACCGGTTCTTCTCCCTGACTTCACAATCAATGAACGGCATTGCTGTCCACCTACTCAAGTCCCAGACCCGGCAGCCATCCTGAATCTTCTTTTCTTACCTTTTCTCCAAATCCAATGAATTAGTGTCTTGTCAGTTTTACCTCCAAATATATCCTGTGACTTCCGTCTCCACTAATGCTGCCCTAATTCAAGTGACACTTTGCTGGCTGCTGCGACAGCTGACTGGTCTTACTTTCCTTCCTTGTGCTACTCAATCCACCCCACACGGGTGCTGGAACAATGTCTGAATCAAATAAGCCAGATCACATCTCCCTGCTCACCCTTTCCTTCAGAGTTATTTTCTATCGCAGCGCCCTGGTTTTACTTCCTTCACCGCACTCAAATGGCTCTTTTTGTTTATTGTATACTTCCTCATTATCTTTTTTCCCTAGAATATAGGCTTCTTGAGAACAAGGACTTGTCTGTCTTTTCCCCTGGCCCAGAAGAGTGAGGGAGGGGGGAAAGAATGAAAAGTGTATCAGGCAGGGGCGTAAGGGGGTTAAACGGTAATGGAAAAAAATACAATAAAAGGTTTTTTGTAAAAAGTGTATCAGACAGATACTAGCATGATGAGAGTATCTGATTTTACAGGAAAGGAATCAGAGAAGTTTAGTATCTTTCCCAAAGCCACACAGCTGGAAATGGCAGAGCTGAGACTCACACTCAGCTGTAACTGACTCCGGAGCTTAAACTCCCACAGTAGAGGTGAGGAAGGAAGGGAGGCCCGAGTGAATTTTGTCACTGAGATTTCAAAATGGGAGAGACCTTTGTGGAGTGTCTGCATTATCTGTTGAAATGCTGTTTCACTGTTAAGGTGTCACTAGCATTTGTGCACGGTTCACCTCTTCAGAAGCAATCTCCACACCTTCAAGCAGCTAAGTTTTGTTGAACTTGCTAAGGGCAGGAAAATGGTCAGGAAGTAAACGTTTATCTAGGAACATTTGGGGGCGGTTATCACCTACCAACTAGCAGCCACGCAGGTTTTCATTAGGCTGAAGGCAGTGGTGGGGTCACACTGACTGGAGTCCTGATCACCTGGACCTCCTGTTCCTCGATGCACTAGGGTCTCTGAGGTGTGCTAGCCCTGCCCCTTACCCCCCAGCTCAATCTCTCCTCCTAGGGTCCTGACCTTCCACTGAGGGCCACCCTGGCTCTGGTTCTGGGACCATCTCCCAAGTATTTTCCACCCCAGCTCTTCTACACAGACTGGTGTTCAAGGCCGACCCCTCTGTGTTTTCCTTCCCAGAGGAGGTGCCAGTCAACACTGGGGCTGGCTACTGCAGTGTTCTCATGCATGCAATGTCCCCAGGGAAGAACATTCCTGAACCAGCTTGGCTGGTGGCTCACTCAGTTGGAGTACTGTCCCGTACACCGAAAGGTAGCAGATTTGATCCCCAGTTGGGGTGCCTATAGATCAATATTTCTCTCCTTCCCTAAGATCAATAAAAATCTTCAGGTAAGGTTTTTTTAAAAAAGAAATATCCTGGATACAGACAAGGGAAAGCTAGGAGTCTGGGGTACCAAGAGACAGATCAGACAGCAAATCATTTAGTCCAACGTCTCCACTCTGTTGACCCTGGGGACCAGGCGACTTGACCAAGATTCACCACCACCACCAGGTAGTGTCAGGGCGGAACCCAAGCTGCTGACTGCACTGCCCTCTGCTGGTCATTATCAACTGGGCCCTTAGCTTCTTCCACATTTTTTCAAGTTTCATCCAAGTATAATTTACAGTAAATAAAAAAATTCCCATTTAAAGTATATTCTGATGGGTTTTGACTAATGTAGATACTCATACAATTACCGTCACAAGATAACAGACCATCAACAGGTAATGTCTGGAGCTCCACAAAGTTCTCTTTCTCGCCTGCAATTAACCCCCACCCACCTGCAGCCCCAGGCAACCACCGACCAGACCTGCTCACTACAGAGGAGTCTTTCCCAGAGTCCTCAGACTTCGCTGCCTTGGAATCGTTCCGTCTGACTCTTGCGCCAGGCCCCTGCCACTGGATCGCCTATGGGTTTTCACCCATGTGACTGTGTTTCCAGCAGTTCGTTCCTTTTTATTATTGGACGGTATTCCACCACATGGATAAACTACAATTTACTTCTACATTCACCTGTCGGTGGACATTTGGGCTGTTTCCAGTCTAAGACTGTTTATAACAAAGCTGCCACAGCCACGTGCACAAGGCTTTTTGTGGACCTGTGTCCCCTCTTGTGTTATTCAGGGTCAGATGCTAAGTATTCACCTTTTAAGAAACTGCCACACTGCTAGCCCATTTTCAGATTTTAAAAATCAGGTCAAATTGCTTAAAAGTTTTATCTCGGTAAATCTGGTTCAGGAGTTTCCCCAGTTTCTCTGTGAGTGGCAAACGGGCCACGTGGTCAGGGCCTCTCCTGTCCCACGAACTGGGCGGGAAGCAGAAGCAGCCTCTCCGACCTGCTGACTGCACGACTGAGGGCGAGCGTTTCAGAGCAGAGCTCCCGGCAGACCGCAGCCTGGGTTCCGCAGCCTGGGTTCGGGCGCTGGTTACCTGCACTCGCTGACACAAAAGGGATTATTTGCTGGGGGTGACACTGGCGCAAGGAAGAGTTTCGTTCTTCATATTGTTTAAATTTTGTTTTTCAGTTACGGCTGATATATATATATATATATATATATATATATATAAAATACATGACATTAAGTTTTAGGAACAGTTTTTACATTATAGAACAGAGGCCATGGAAGTAGAAGTGTATTTTTGCGCCTGTAAAACCTACACAAAACTGTGACTCCGGGGTGAGAGAGCGAGAGCTCTCATCCCCGCACTCAGGGAAAGAAGAGGCGGTGGGGAAAGGGCAGTGGGGGATGCGGCCAAATCCTGAGTCTGGGAGCCTGCTGAGGGCAGAGACTGGTGAAAGAGCCCTCTGACCTTTCTGAGACAACTGAGAGGGCAAGACTCAGAGCATGTCCCCGCTCCTGCTTGGGGTCCCCAGCTGACTGCAGAGGAGGGCCAAGGAGGACTGTCATCTCCTCATCTGTATTGTTTCCCTTGCTCTGAAGTAGTGACCTTGACCAGAAGCCCACAGAGCTCTGATCAGTAGTTATGATTTTTCCTGGGAATGAAGGGTTTTCCTGATTACACGGTCACTTCTATGGAGGAGAAATTTTTTTCTATTTCTTTTTTCCTGAAAACTTGGAGATAATATAACCACCACTGACCTAAAAGCTGACAGCGATAACCTTTTACAGGTTCTGTCTTCAACATCTGTACAAAACTAAATAGTTTATTTATTGTGTCCTTAGGACATACTATCAGGAGCACTTTCATTTGAAAATGTATGTCCTTGTCGTCACAGCGCTTCGACAAAGTAAACAGTGCTTGCCTTTATCTTGTTCCCTTCCGTGGAGGTGATCTGTGCCCGTAACCACGCGTCCTCCTCAGCGTTCACGGCCAGCAGCTGCCCGACATGCACAGTCTGCACCGGTGCAATCTTAGGGCTCTTGCTGTAATGCTCCTTCATTTCATCTTCCATTAGTTCCTGAGCGCCAGAATAGTCTTTCCCCACATACCTGGATGAGTTAAAGGAAGAGAACACAAATGAAACAACACAGAGGCAATCTGTAAGAACGCATTAATGTTACTGTTTTTCTACGGCTACCTTTGGTTCCAGTCTCAGGCTTGCTTACATCAACAGGGAAGAGAGCATGTATTCAGCAAACATGTACACCAGTGAAAGAAAACATAAAACTGTGGCACTCACGCAAAAAGAAACAAGAGCCACTACGCCACACGACAGAGCACAAATGCTCGACAATAATCTAGGAGTTGGGGCAGGGGGTGTCTTTGGGAGGCTGAGGAAAGACTCCAGGGAAGGGAAGAGAGGAAGACAAGGAAAACGGAGATTCCAGTGCAGGCCAGCTAGCGAGAGTGGACATAAGATTCTGACTAAGGCTGCTGGGAGCTTTGCAGATTACAACAAGAGAATCTAGTTGGTAGTTCTGCCTTTACCAAGGCTGGGTCTAAACCAGGCTCAAGATCTGAAAACCAATGACATTTTACCAGAGAAAAACAAAGCCTAAATTAACATGCCTAAAAAACACATGCCACAGCCATGTGGCACCCCGTCCCCAATCTACTGCACAAATTTGAACACGTTATAATGAAATGTTGAGTTCTGACACCCTTGGAAGGGACCACACACTATACCAAAATGCCTCTTAGATTGTGTGTATTCTGAGAAGTACTTTTTCAGGGCAGGTTCCTATCTCCTTCTACAATTTTCTGCTTTGAAGATGCAACCACCCTGGCCCAGTTCATGTTATCAAAACATACTACATCCTTTCAGTTGTATTTTTGCCCTTCAGTCTTCAGAGATGATTCCATCAGGCCTCCTTCTAGGACATAAAACCTGGCAGGTCGACTTTGGCTCCTGTACCAGGAGCCATCTCAGGAGCCATGTGATGAAGGCTTTTTGGCTAGAAGGCCGCGCTGTCACCGGGCCGGGGAGACGAGGGATATGCGGAAAGCACACTGCTCTTTGTGTGGTCCTAGCTTTTACTGAGGGCCCATGTGGTACTATTGAGCATGAAGACGCTACTCCTCTAGAAGTGTTTTTTAAAGAGTGTTTTCATGTATTCTTCATCATTATCAGCAGAGCAGAAGATACCACAGTCAACCAATTCATTACTAGATTGAAAAAAAAAGCTTTAAAAAGTACTGCACAAATGGAAAGAATGTCTCCACTGAGGCGATGGCCATTTTTAAAACCATCACCACATCCGTGTATTCACTCCAGAAACAGCGGCAGAAGCTCTGGCACACTCCGTCAGTTATGTTTGTTGAGCTTCACAAGTGCTAAGGTACTGCCCGGGATGCAGCCACACTCTTGGCTCTAAAGTCTCCCAGAAGATCCCTGATTCTGCCCAAGTGCCCATTTCCTGGGACCTGGAGTCTCATGGGGCCCCTGGCAGCGCAGCTACAACCCCGGGAGCTCGGCTGGCAGAAGCCTGGAAGGTAGGCGTGCAGTGGGTTGAGTCATCTGCCACGCACAGGCTGCTGCCGAGGAGGGGAAAGGGGGCAAGAAGACGAGTGAGAAGCCACGTGGGAAGCGCGAGCGGCTTCTGCTCTCTGCAGCACCCAGCAGACAGACAGCTCCCCAGGCCGGGTGGAGGGGGATGATGCTACAGTCGGTATGAGGGTGGTTAGCAGCAAGAATGAAGTCATACTTTGTCCCCAAAGTACCTGAGCAAATGGACAAAGAATGGATGTACACTATAAGTACAAAGTTTTACAGAGTTAATTCTTGAGACTGGAAACAAGAGATGCCCATACTTGACTGGAGGGTTCTATTACAGCACCTCTGGGAACCTTTACGAGTTGCAGGCCTAGTTTCCAGAGCTTACCACCTTGCCTGAGTGAAGACGTGGGCATAGAACAGGTCTGGACATGGGTATAGACCCCTGGGATCTGCTAAGTCTCCAGGCCTGTGGGGGATGCCAGTGATCTAGGGTCAGCCTAATGGCAGTCACTGCCCATCTCCTGCAATGCGCAGGCTGACTCCAGGACTCAACGTTACACTGGAAGGGGGGGGGGTCTAAATACTCTGCGGACGCTGGGCCTAGCAGTCCTGGAACAGACCGGATGCCCTGGAACTGATCCAGACTCCTGCCAGCCCTTGGTGGAACATCAGAGACCACATGACTGGTGCCGTCCAGTGCTGGGTGCTTGGCCTCTGACAGTGGCACCCATGGCTATTGGTGACAGAAACCAAAAGATCCTGCCAAGTAAGCAGATTCCGGTTATTTTTATGTTAAACAGCAAAAGTCAGTAATATGTCCCTCAACACCCATCGTTCACCTCAATTTATTAGTGGACCACAGTGGCGCCCCTCGCCCTCAGCTATCTGTTTCCACCTTCAGGCCATAGCACGTCTTAGGATAAAGGCTCTATGCCGTTACTACTTCTGCATAAAACTTATCTGAATTTTCTGTACATTCTTCTAGCCTGAGCATCCCAAGATACTTGATTCTCATTCATTATCCAGTCAGACTTAGTAGATTATTCAGATAGAAGAGCTTTGATATTCTGATCTATTCTTTCATTGAAGGACTTTATTTTGGGGGGCCTTTCTTTGGGCCTTCCCGGCTCAGCAATGTTTCCCTGGGGGAGTAACAGCCCAAACCGTAAGGATCCAGTTCTGCTTCAGCCTTTCCCTTTCTGTCCAGCCACAGCCACACCCTAAAGCTGATACCTTTGGAGGTCCAGCTACACCAGTTCCCATTCTTCATCCCGAGTCAGAAACTGCAAATTACAGCCTTTCACTATTTGCTGTGTATTGTACATTTTCTCTGGCACTCCACATCGAGTGCCTGGAGTTGGACTGCTTTCTATAATTCCTGTTATCATTAGCTGCTCAGGTGATGATTCCTTCCCCCAGGCAGTGATGTCTAAAGTCTCAAGAACCAGAGCACCTTTGGATCCAAGGCCTAAGGATCCAAGGAAGGTGGTGCTTAGCTATTCTGACTTTTAGTAATAAGCACCTCAGATTCCCACACTAAACAGTATCAACTACCTAGTGGGCAACTTGCTTTCAGACCACAATATCATTCCAATTTTTAAAACTGTGAGTAACCTTTTCTTACAAGAACAGCTGTATATTTTGAACATTTACCAAATATTAAGACTATATGCAGAGATGAATACTTAAAAGTATTTGATTTCAAGATGTTCGCCATCTACTGGGGGAGACAACTGTACTTATATAACCATAATGTAGATGAAATAAAAATTAAGTCCTCTAAGAGGTACCAAAAAAAAAAGTTCAGGCAGTTGAGAGAAATATACAAAATATAAAGAAAAAAAGAGTAGATTATTACATTTCATTATAACTCCATATAGAACTTGGAATATATTGTTTTTCCTCAACCCCCAGCACCCATATGAAGAACAAGCAAGTAACCACAGTACACACAATCTAAAAAATCAGAAAATAAAACTTGCCTGATAACCACTTCATTTGTGTTGCTCAGTTCAACCACCAATACAGATGGAGATGCCTCCGTTGGAATGACTAACGGTGGAACTGTTACATTCTCCGTGGTGGGATCAGCACTCTCAATGTTCTTTTCCACCTGCAAATACTCTGGTTTCACCACAGACTTGATAGCGTGGTCGCCACGTGCTTGCTCTGCATCCTTCAGGACTCTGTCAGTGGGCAATGGGAGTTTAGCATAGAGAATGGCCTTCTGGGGATTCCCGGAAATGTAGTCTACGGTGCATACATCAGAAAGCAAGGCAAGATTTTTCAAAGCATCCTTGGGGAATTTTACTTTGTACATGTCCTCAAACGCCTTCGGAAGTGCACTGGCCCAAAGACCACTTGAGTATTTCACCAGCAGCCCTGCAACTTTCTCTTTAAAGTCTCCTGGCACAACTTTCTCTTTAAAGTCTCCTGGCACAACTTTCTCTTTAAAGTCTCCTGGCACAACTTTCTCTTTAAAGTCTCCTGGCACGACTGCTGGACCCCCTGTGAAGGGTGGTGCTTGTTTTGGAGCAGGCAGTGGAGACGGAGGCATTTTGCCACTGTTGACCTCACTTCGCAAAAGCTGCTTTCTCTGAGCTGGATAAAGCAGCAAATCTTGACCACCACTGGAGGGCTTTTCCACCTGAAATTTTTAAATAGAGCAAATGACAGGTAATTCAATGACTACAAACAGTCTGAAAGCACATCAATCCATTTTAAATTTGAGAGCAACATTGTTTTACAACTAATCAAGAGAACACAAAAGTGTACATTTTACTCAATTACTTAGAGGTCATGCCTTGCCTCCACCCGCAAATAACACCAGGAGCCACACTGCAGAAGTAAACAGAAATAAAACAGCATCAGTTTCCCTTGTGAGGCACTTGGCCTCCACAAGCCTAGGAAATCAGGAGTGGTTCTGCCCTGTATGCCATGTAGTATCTCTCGTTGGGTTCTCTCCACCAAATCCAAAGCAACAACTTACGAAATTGACTGAACACAGGAATGAAGCTGTGGTGAGGTGTCAGAACTGTTGGAAATGAACCACTGGGAAGAAAGTTAGGAAGCATTTAGGGGACAGCAAAGTGCTGCCTCCCCCTGCAATAGCCCGAGAAAACCCTCAGCTTTCAATTCTTTAGAAAAAGACACTCCAGAGGTAAGGTACAGTTTTTACGAGCACCCCAGCTGAAAGCTGAAAGTGTTGCCCCTCCAATAAACAGGAGTTAAAAATGCCTGGCATCTGTATGTCATCCAGTCTCTAATTTTATCCGCACCACATTCCTGAGAAGTGTGGCAGGACGGCGAATCTACATGAGAGGAGGAGAAGAGAAACTGACATATGGCGCCATTTTTCCGGGTTCTAAGCTTTTCTACTAGGCCAGGGGTCACAACCTAAAGGCTGGAGCCCAATGCAGCTCATCAGTTATTTTTGCCAAACTCATGAGCTAAGAATTTTCAATGGTTGAAACAATTCAAAAGAATTACTTTGCGATGTGCAAATCACACAGAATCCAGTGTGCACGCAGGTTTTGGGACGCAGCCATGCTCGTCCGTGCCTCACTTGCTGTGCCCTGCGGCAGCGGAGGCCAGCGGTGCGGCCAGACTGCGGTGCCGGCACCGTGGCTCTTGGCCCACTACTCCTGAGCTGCAATTTAAGCCCTGAGGAGAGTATTCCAGACCACAAAGGCAGTAATACAAGCTTGCAAGAAGTCCTCTCTTCCCTAGGAAAAATACAATATTATAAGCTATGCTGGGTGGGTAGCTTGATAGTAAAGAACATTTACTTCATTTTTAAAATGAAATGATGAGGAAGAGAGAACATAAATAATGTATATGTAAAGCAGGTATTTATTGTCTTGTTACCAGAGAAAAGATTTAATAAGTAAAAAAAAAAAACAGTTAATTTAAGATAGTCTAAGTATATATTTAGTCTAAATGTATATTCTAGATAATACATGAGGATGAATATTTATATAAGTATAAAACAATAGGTTTTCCTCCTTATATTCTTCTGCCAATGTGTGCTGCTTAAATTTTGAGGACTCATCCTGGCTGGTGTAGCTCAGTGTACTGAGTGCCAACCAGTGAATCAAAGGGTTGCTCGTTTGATTCCCAGCCAGGGCATATGCCTGGGTTGAAGGCCAGGTCCCCAGTACAAGGTATGCAAGAGGCAACCATGCATTGACGTTTCTCTCCTTCTTTCTCCTTCCATTCCCCTCTAAAGCTAAATAAATAAAATCTTCAAAAAAAATTTTTTGAGGACTGAAGAAAAATTCCTTGCCTAAAAAACCTAAAGCATCAATGGAAACAGAGGTAATTACCTAACGCCAGGAACCCACTGTGCTTAGCGTCTGCGGGCATTCTCCATCATCCTTGGTGGACACCTGCCAACACCTTGTGACACTCTGGATGCCGCATTAAATGACAGTCACAACTTGTGTCTCTAATTTTAAGCCTTAGGGACACAAATATTTAAAATTCCTCACTTTGCTTTCAATGGTTAGTCCACCTCTCTAGAGACTCATATTTAAAAATCTGGAATGTTAAGATGCCAATCTTCACTGTGCTTTAGGACACTCAGTAAGATACAAGAACACAGAGTATCCAGAGAAGGTTTGAGAGCAAATGAAAAATAAAACAATTCTCTGTGCGGTACAGTCACTTGTATAAAATCCCAATTAGCAGAAGTTTAGATTTAGACTTGGCAGTCCTCCACATCCAAAGCCAGCTGAGCCTTCTGGGCCCGTCTTAAAACCTTTCTTCTTCTTCACCTACCGACCTCTTCTCAATTTCAGTGGGCCAATTTATTTGCCTATGGAACTCCACCTCCACCTCCCAACAGGAGACACCAGTAGGGAACATAAAAGATGAGCTCCCTACACCATGGAGGTCAGGCCATCTCCTTTGGTCACCTTATCAGAAGGTTCTGGTATCTAATACACCTTACACTTCCTACTGCCACAAGTCCATTAGATTTAGCTTGATTTCTGCCTCACAGAAAATCAGAACTTCAATGAGATACTTCTGTTTCTGTAAGTTGGGAGTAGACAGATGAGATTTGATAGATGCGAGACTTAAGAACTTAACACATCAACTTCTTCAGGAACCCTGTATGTTCACACAGATAACAGTCTTCCTCCTATATACCTAGAACTTTTTTCTCCTTAATTCTGAGAGGTCTTAGCTTTTTCCTTTTAAAATTTACCTGTGCTGTAAACTTAAAGTTCTTGAAATCAAACTCCTTGGTCTATGAAGGCTCACCTACTAACTCTGCAGCCTGGCTGAAGTGAACTTCGGCCTGTTTCTTGTGAAATTGGAATTTTCTTTGGGATTCCAGAACAGAACTGGTATTGATCGATTACACCAGAAAGGTTTCCAAAAGCAGCTGTATGGGTCTATTGAGCCAGAGCTGCATTGACATTGGGCTGGAGTCTCTGTGTTGAAGCTCTAAATTACGTTCTAAATTTCACTTCACACAGTCCCCACCTAGTACAAACCAGTCTCTCTGCAGCTGCTTACCAATGCTAGTACTGATATTAAGCCCTAGATATTCACAAAGGGTTATAATTTTTCAGCTGTTTCTGTGTAAGAGAGTATAACTATTCATAGCATATTCCACAGAAATTTAGTCAAAGGTAAAGATTCCTTGTAGAGAGTAACCCCTCTTACAAACCATCTAACCAGAAAAACTCTTTCTCCACCAGCTTACATGAGCAGTTTTATACGCTCTATGTATTTCTACATATACACTTGTACTCTTTTTCATTCCCAGCCCTTTGCCTAGTAAGGACTTTTCACTGGTGCTGCCTGCAACTACTTGTATTAAGGTAACTTCGAGTCACTTTCTTTCAGCATGGCCCATGGCAGGCCCTGGTTCACAGGTTCCTTCAGGAAAACCACGGAGTCTTCTCCTGCTTCAAGGTGGACGAAGCTTTTGGGGATGATCTTGACTGCCAGCCGCAGCTTTCACTGTGCCTTCTCGGCTAAGGAGGTCTCTGGGTGTAATGCTCTCATCACCGTGGTGGACAGTGGCAGGGATGATCTCCTCCTCTGAGTCAGCAGAAACTCACCTCATCTTGAAGTTTCCGTTCCTTTGACTTCATTCACTGCTCCTTTTTCTTTTTTTCAATTTAAACTTTTGTTCTTTCTCACTTTAGGTTTTCCTGTTTTCTTTCTAGAGCTTGCTGGGCATGTCTCTGGTTTACCAGTGGGTTTTAAACTGCTTTAATTCAAGCAGGGCTGCCTTAGAAAATAACACTGTCTTTCCTAAATAACTGTTATGTTTCTGATACTGGAAGCTGCTTTTGATAGCTGGTCTCATTTAATTCTAACAACCCTATGAGACGGGTAGAAGGAGTCACATTTCAGAGCAGAGTCGAGCCCTGAGAGGATGCTTTGTATGCTTGAAAGTAATGCAGCTAAGGAATGGTGAGGCACAAATCGAGTTCCGAAGCCCCAACTCTCTCACTGCACCCTAGGGCCCTCTGGGTATTTTGCTCTATTTCAAGTTCCAGAACAGCTACATCACAGTACTCCTTGACTTCTCTAATTCTGATTTTGCCAGCGTGCCCTTCTGTCTTTCTCCTATTCACATGGTCCCTGAAATTAAATTTGAAAACTACTACAATGTTTTCATTGAATATTTCTTTTTATTGGTGAAAAAAATCAGGAAAGAAACTGGACTCCAATTAGATATTGTGGCTATACTTTCTAGCCCTCAGTCTCCTTCCCACCACTGTCTCTGCTTGCACGGCTACTTAGATCAATTCCATGCCATCAAGACTGAGGAAACAGCACTGCTGTTTATTTCCACTTCCTTGGAAAGCCAACACCAACAGGTGCTGCTGCCCTTCTCCTAGAACCCAAAAGAGCCCTTAGATTCCCAGTATTCGTGGCCTATAGGCTTACCACCTTGGGCTGTGCCTTTCCAAGACAGAGTCTACATAAGTTCCACTTCTTTCACAAGCTGCCTAAGAACAGTATGGAACTGGTGCATCAGTGTTAATGTGACTTGATATTCTCTTTGCCTTTTACAACTCTCGGTCCACATTAAGAACAGCACATTCAAAGAATCCTTCTGCTTGCATCCAAAGGGCATCCGGCATCCTTGTGAAGTATCTTGCAGCACACAGCTGATTAGAACTTCCATGAAGGTAACATTTCAGGGGTGCTATTTGGTCCCTGGAGCTAATGCTGCCCATTCGGTTCTTCAAATGGAAACCCCTGTGAGTGGTTATCTCTGGGTGGTAGGACAATGGATAATTCTTTCTTTTGTACAACTTAAGTTTTCAGTCTCTTTAATATAGGATGTTTTATGTAACTGGGGGGAAGCAGTATTTTTGTTTTTTAAAGAAAGAAATACACTGCATGCACTTGAATTTCTTCTTCAGTTACACTTAGAGAGAGACACATTACCAAGCCTCTCTCTTCTTGTCCTAAATTTTCAGTACTGTGTTTGAGGCTGTCTGACCTTGGTTATAGTGGCATCGGTCTGGCTGTGCTGTCAGTGTTTCTGCTTTCAAGGTAAAAAGCAAGAACTCAACAGAGTCCAGAGGGAAGGGGGAGGGAATTTCAGGGGAAAAGGGGAAGGGTTTATAGGAACAAGTATAAAGAACACATGGACAAAAACTAAGGGGGGCGGAAATGGGAGGGAGGTGGGGAGCACTGGGGGGGTTGGGCTGGGATGGGAGTAAAAGACAGAAAACTGTACTTGAATAACAATTTAAAAAATAAATTAAAAAAATAAATACAAATAAAATAAACAGAAGTTTAAAAAAAAGCAAGAAGTCAGAACAAAGGAAAAACCACCATGGTATCACTGTTTAAAACTATGTAAAAATAACCAAGGTGCAAGTGTTTACCAGTAAAGTGTTAAAAAAATATTCAGAGGCTAAAAAAGACTTTTGAAAAATATCAGTAGACGTCGCCAAGACTGGCAGTTTTCAGCATCCTAGACACAAATGCTCGTGCCTGATGACTGACACGACCGCATCTACACGTCCCTACTCCAAGCTGGGAGACACGGAACGTATAAGGTGAATTACAGTTCTGCTTTGCGTTCTGCCCTCACTGTGGCACAGAAAATTAGCATGCAACAAAGATGAATTTGAGTGCTGAAAAAAGCAACCAAAAAACAAAGTCAGTTGTTTCAGCACTGGTGATTCGGTAGGAAACCGCTCATTTTGGCCAAAGTTTTAACATCAAAGAGACATTCTCTCACCTGGACAAAAGGTGTTATGACTAGTAATCCAAATCTGAAAGTGGAGGAGGCATCAGGAGGGAGGAATGAGGAGAAACGTACCGTGCAAACATGAGGCCAGTGCTCACACTGTTGTAAAATTCCTTGATTAAGTTCTTCTTTATATAACTCTTTGTAAAAATGTGGAAGCTTAGACATCCAAATGCCATTGTTATGCTTGTTTAGCATTTCCTTTATGCGGTTTTGAACCTCATCCATTTTATAAGTGTAAGAGGCAGGAGACATGACATTTGGTTTTTCAACAGTCTGATTTAAATTATCTTTAAATTAAAAAAAAATGATAGAATTAACCAAAATGCTTAATTTAGGTTATCCCCATTACCTAATAATTGTGTCTTTAGGCTTTGTTATACTTCAGACTTGTGGGGGTCAAGGAATTTAAAGGGAGCAGTACTAGGAAAAGCAGGACCATGACAAACTCACTCCAAGTTTTAGCCATGAAACAATCAGCAGGGTCAATGGCTGCCCACAGAGGGAGCCTAGCCCCTTTAGTTTTCAATGGTACTTCATTTAATTTAAACATCAGAATAATCTTGCTTCATGAAGAATAATGAAACATTATTTATCCAATCATTTTCTAACTGCAGCTAAGAAAGGTTAAATTTTAGACAATAATGGTTTATATGCAATGCTGAATTTAAAGCTATATTCCACAAGGCATGAGGATAATAATACCTTAATAATAAGATTAAAGAAGATTTTATAAAAAATAATAAATTATCCAGGTTTTAAGCTGTGCTCAATTTTCCCCTTTATTAATGAGAAAAATAATTCACCAATACAGCTAAAAAGTGATCCACTTACAATAATCATCCTAGCCGCAGCTTATAAATAAAAGGTTTTGAAGCCCACTGATACCTATTAACAATTTGTTTTTATTTACCCAATTCATATTATTTATCTTTCATAAGTGAATATTTATAAGGTGTTGACTGGCTCTCTTACTCATTTATTTTTTATTTAAAATTTAGAGTGCCTGAATGACAAAATGACAAAGAAATTTGAGTGTTCACAATAGCTGACAGTTCTGGTATTTTAAGAACTATGAAATTCATTCCAAATCTCTTTTAAATTTCATTGAAATACAGAGCAGAGTATTTTTAAGAATTACCAACTACAAGCAAAATACATTCATATCTTAATCACAAAGGATTTCTGCTGGGATTCAACAATTTTAATTTAACTTAATTTACTTTTAAGCTGCCTGGTATAGACACACAGGCTGGTGGGAGGACCTGGGCCTCCAAGGAGGCCAGAAAGCCGACGGGCGAGCCGGCCCTCGAGGCCGGATGGAGGCCGGATGGAGGCTGGCCGCTTCGCACCCCTCGGGGCGAGGCCTCGCCTTGCTGACACTTACTTCGGCTCCGTGAACAAAAGGGCCCAGGATGCCCGTCTAAGATGCCTATTAAAAGCAGAACTAATTTATTTAATAAGTTCTTCCCAAATAATGATATAAAAATGCCAGGAAAAAATATGAGTTTGTCAGAACTGGCCAGGCCGCACTGAAAGTGAGAGCGTCAGCCGCTGATGGACAGCTGGAGTGTTTGCGGATGCACCTGCTCTGTGGCGCCTACTGCGTGACCAGAGCTCCAATGCCTTTTGTTAAACAAATCAATGCAGTGACGTGGGCTGGCGGGAGGGGCTGTATGTAAGTGTGCACACATCATGTCTCTTATCACTCTCTCACTCATTAGAGGGTAAGATTTAAAATTCATAAATACGAAATTTAAATTCATTAAATGGTTTCAGATACACCATCATTTAAAATGTGGGAACCTAAACTGTGTGAAATGACCAATAACATGTACATAAATGATTCCTCAGGTTAAGAAAACAAGAGACGCATATCAGCTGCCATGTGAATTGCAATCCTCCTGAATAGGTCCCTTTGGTTCTGCAGAAAGTTTATTCTAATTTAAAATGACTTACAACCTCTAAAGGGCGTACAACTATACTGAGTAGTCATGTTTTGGAAAATGCATATGTTAAAGTAATTGACATAAACAAAAATCATATTGCTCAATTAACTTGTATTAGAAATACTGTAGATGTGTTCTTATGGGAAAAAATGATTTCAACTCAGTAAGAATCACACTTAAAGCAGCAAATCCTTTACAGTCACATTTAAATGACATGACACAAGTAGTAATTCTGGAAACACTGTGCCTGTCCCCCAGGTGGGGCTATAGGCAGGGGATTTATACCTTGCTTGGAGGAGACAAGATGATGAGTGAGTGCATTTCTAACCTTCAGATTCTTTGCTTTTATATTTTGTCTCCAACTGTCTTCTTTATAGCCCCATTGGGATTTTATAACCCAAGGAATCATTTATATTCACATTTAAATGCTCAGAGTATCTGAAATGATTTGATGAGTTCAGGTCCCACATTTATGCACGTTAAATCTTACCCTTAATGAGTGAGACGGTGACAACAGACATGAGTATCTCTGCAGGGGACACGTGGAGCAGAAACAGAATAGGTCTGGCATGAGGAATGTCTCAAGTTGGAATAATAATGATATCATTAAGGTATTATTTTCTCTTTAGATCACGTCAATGCCTAACTTAAAGAAATTAGGAAAGAGGAAGGACGGATAGATTCCAAATAGAAGAAAGTGAGAGCAAATGTCAAAAGCCACTCCGGAGAGTTTCCTTGGGGCTCTGAGGCTCTAGAAGCCAAAATGCATGGTGAAGCTAATGTTTAGAAAACATACCACTCATTTCTTTAGTGCAGGTCCTTGAGAGATGCATCTGAAAAGGAGGTGAGAAGGATGCTTTTGGGCTGAACCTAAAGTATAATTTAAAAAGTACATTAAAACTTAAACAATAAAGTCAATACCAAGTTTTAAGCACTCTACTTGTCATTAGAGTCTCTTTGGCATGGAACAGGGAAACAAATCATAAAATATTTCAAAATGAGCTGAAACAACAATATACCTGATTCAGCTTTCATGTTTCATATTCACCCAAAGAAAAGGTATCATAAGCTAAATTTAAACTAGGATTATAAAAGACCTTGGAAATCAGAGTTCCAATTAATCACCTTTAAGGAACAAGCAATACAAAGTGAAAAAATGCAAAGAATAAACAGTTGAGCATAGAGACTATTTTGGAACATAACTAAAAACGGAAGGACTCGCATCACCAGATATTGAAATGCATTATAAAGTTCCAGTGCTTAGGATAATTGGACAGATAGGTAAAATTGTAGAGAGCTTAGACACATTCCATTTTATTAGCACACGATGAAAGTGGCATTTCAAACCAAAGAACGGATTGCTCAAATAAGTACTTAGAAAAAAATAAACATAGATTTCCTACCTTATACACTCACCAAAATAATTTTATATGAATTATATTGGATATACATTGCAAAATTTTTCCCAATATGAGGACAAAGAAATAAGGCACACACACAGACAGAAGTAGTTTGTGTTCATGTCTGTCTCCCTCACTAGACTCCAAGTGTCTTATTTACCGGTGTTCCCTGTGCCCAGTGCTCGGCACACGCAAGGAAGAGTGAACGTTGTAGGAATGAATGCAGCCCTATGGCATTTGTGGTTGGGTTTTTTTTCTTTCAGCACTAGAAACTCTGCCCCTTTTTCCTCCCTGGCTGTGGATGAGGAATCCACTGTCATTAACTGGTGTTCCCCTACAGGTGACCCGCCATTTCTCTGCCTGTTTTCAAGTTGTTTTCTTTGTCTTTGGTTTTCAGAAGTTTAATTATGAGGTGTCTTGGTGTGGTTTTCTTTAGATTCATCCTATTTGTAATTCTCTAAGCTTCTTAAATCTGCAGGTTTACGTCCTTAGCCAAATTTGAGATGTTTTCGGCCATTGTGCCTTCAGATACTCATTTGAGCCTCACTCTCTCTTTTCCTTCTGAAATTCTGACAATATAAACATAAGATCTTTCTTATTTTTCCCATAGGTCCCCAAGGACTCTGACAGTTTTTTCCCTGTAGGCCCCTCAGGATTTGCTAGCTGTTGTTTTGTTTTGTTTTGGTTTGATTTTTTGACGTCAGTTTGCTCTGCTGTTAGGTTTGCTAATTTCTCTGGTTCTAGCTTCAAGCTGACTGATTCTTTCCTCTGTCCTATTCATTCTGCTACTGAGCTCATCCATTGCATTTTTTCTCATTTTGGTGTTGCATTCTTCAGTACTATAGTTTCCATTTGGTTCTTTTTTCTACGTTCTATTTCTCTGGTGAATTTCCCATTTTTTCAAAAATATTTGCAGTTACTCATGGAAACATTTTTATGACAGCTGCCTTAAAATCCTTGTCTGATAATTCTAACATCAGATGCATCTTGGCGTTGGTGTCTGTTCATTATCTATTCTCATTCAAGTAGTCATTTTGCTCGTTCTTAGTATAACACGTGGTTTTGTTTGTTTTTTGTACACTGGACATTAGGAACTATGTTAGGAGCCTATGGATCCTATTTAAATGTCCAATTTTAGCATGCATTTACCTTGTTCAGGTTTAGCACATGGCTCCTAGCCCATTTCTGCAGGCTGTGGGTCCACTGACAGTTTAGTTTTCAGGGCCCTTATAGTACTGTCCTGGTGAGCTACATTCACCTGTTGCTGCTGGGGATTCTGTTTGATCTCTGCAAGTGCTGCCCATGGGCACTTCCCTGGGCCTGGTGCTGCTAACTGGGAGGGGTAGAAGCTAGCTGCGGTTTAAACAGCACCAACTTGGGTCCACTGTTTAGGCTGCTGTCAGGTGCTACCTGCAGGGATTGAAGGCTCTTACCTGGGCCACCCAGTGCCACTACGTGAGAGGTAGGAGACACCAGATCATGGTGTGGAGTATGCTCCCTAGGCCTCGCAATCCAAAGTCCAAAATTAATTACAAGAAAGGTCTTTGGAAAAAGTTGCAAGTTACGCTGAAATAGCATCTTGGGACAATTTGTGAGAGCTTTTAAAGTAAATTTCACAAGGAGGGAATACCAAAAATGTGGAGAAAATATAAAATGGAGATATTCAGAGAATGATATTCATGCAGCCAAGAAAAGTGGACTTACTAGAAATGATGCATTTCTCTACTACATGTGAACTTAGGTTAGACAAAACAGAAAGTACTTCCTTGCCCTGAACATACATTTTAACACTGATTACCCTAGGTTTACTAACCCCCTCCTTTCAGTCACAGTGCAAATACCTGTTGCTGGAAGGCCTGGTCACAGGCCTCTGCACTGGAATGTCTTTGAATACTTCACTCCCAACGTTTGCATGCAACGTGTAAGGCGGCATTTCAGCATCATACTTAATTCCAAGAGAGTTTCCTCTGTCTCTTGACAGTGTTGGATTAGGCTTTTTGCTGATAGAAAAATCTGAAGAAAATCCTGGCTGTCTGAGAGTTGCTTTTGGTTTGCCTGTGAAGATGGATATACAGAACGGAATGAATTAGTGTCCCCAAACCCTGGTTTCATCAGACCACGCCCCTGTGCAGATGTTTTCTGTGGGTCTCCACTCTCCAAGTAGTAAGAACGCAAGGAAGTAGCCACTTGAAGGTTGGTCAGTGGAGGAAGTAGAGATTGGTGAATATTTAACAATGAGGTTCTTCAAAATGTGGTTTCGTCTACTAGACTAGCCAGCTACTTTCTCCCTACTTACCAACTAACATGCAGTGGCAGCCTGCTCACGCTCCCACGAATGCAGCGCACTCCACTCCATCTCGGCCCTCCCACCTCTTCTCCATCCATCTAAACTGTTCCCAGCACTTGAAGCCTGGGTTCGAGTCTCCTCTTCAAAAATAAAGGCCTCCATTGCCATTCTCACTCACCTAAAATGCTCACTGAGGCATTTAGGCATCTATTCTTTCCTATTGCCACTTAACTATTTCTTAGAATTCAGTTTTAGGACTGACTGTAAGTTCAGTAAACACAGGCTGAGTTGCCTATTTAACACCTTTGTATACTACATAATTCATGTTCTTTGAAAATAGAGGATTTATGCTAAAAGAAATGCTTTGCTAGTAAGTAAGACTTTAAATCACAGCTCTTGGTTCATCCAACACTCTGGATGAGGCTTTCCCTCAAATAACCTAAAAGAATAAAGCCAGATCTTGCCATTAGCTTAATTAAAATCTCCTCTGAGTTACTTCACACTGAGTAATGATCTCATTTAGTAAGTCATGCTCCCCATGTTCACTTAATTTCAAATGGAAGTACTAGCTTCAGGATTTCACCCTTGACGTATGAATGTTAACAACTATACATGTTTGTCATGAATACAGGCAATATTTCCATTAATTCCACATGTCAGTGTACACATACATAGGCTTACATTTTTTTAGCGCACAAAAAGGCCTTACCTTCCAGAAAGAACGGCATGGTTTTCTTTACTCTCATCTGACAGTTAACTTGCCGCCCAGTTTTCCTTTTCGAACTCCTCTGCCGAGCCACTAGCTGAGCGATTCTCGCGGTTTCTGAGCAGGCCACAGCGTAACAGGTGATCTATTCGTAGAGGCAAAGTGAGAGGGGAAATGGTGCTCAGACACACTAGTGCCCAGAGGCCGGTTCTTAAAAGTGGACTGGATCTCAGCGAGTTGCCATGTCCCCAATCAAGCTGTATACAAATATTCACATCTCTCTCTCCTTGATAATATTGGAGCAAAACTATATTCTCTACAGAGAAATCAAGTACATGGAATAATCTTCTTTGTTTAAATTGAAAATTTCATTTATTCCTTAATCTGGTGTTTATTAAGCATCTACAATGTGCTAGGTACTATGGGATTAACCAATGAACCAAAAGAAATCCGTGATCTACACATTTACGTAATGTAATCTGTGAGATACATTTTATTCCACTTTAAATAATGAGGGACAGAGGCTCAGGGAAGTTCGCAACTCTCCCAAGCCGCACAGCTGGGCCAGCTCTCTGAATCCAGAGTAGATACATGTAGCTGCTATGTTGCATTACCTTCCAAAGACCACTCGGTCCTGGTCTTGCCACTGCACAGATGAGCCGGGTGACTCAGGGCAAGTCAGTTCACCTCCCTAACCTCGGGGTTCACAGCTGTGACACTGGATCTCACGGGGGCTTCGATCTGGAGTTTTCAAACTGGCCAGCGGAGCCCTAGGACTCCATGGAGGGGCCTCGGGCCTCCCGGTGGCAAGGGTGTGAGGGTCAGGCTGAGCAGACCAAGGGCCAGGACCCTCTGCTCCTGCTTAAAACACGGCAGCTCAGCTTGATACCTTTTTGGAAAAAATTGGCATGAGATAGAATATTTGAAAAAAATATTTTTAAAATTACATAAACTACTAGGACTAGATCATCTCTAAAGCCCCTTCTGCTGTGTAAGTCTTCTATTCTAAGCTGAAATTAAGAACAGAAAGCAAAAACAAGCCAAAGCAGGTTCCTACTCTTTGGGTCAGGATTTGTGTTCCTAAAAATATGGTATAAGAATATAATTCGGAAGAAGAAAAGTTACATGCCCAAATATGTTCACTAGGGGCTATTCTAATAGTCAAAACCTGGAAACATCAAAAATGTCCAACATAGGGAAAGAAAGAGTAAGTTATAGTTGAGTAACTATATGAAGCATTAATTTATTAATTCATTCAGACATTTCATCATTTGTACATTCAACACATTTATTAAGCACCAGCTATTAGGGATGAAAAACAATCTCTCATCCTCAGGAAACTTATGGAGAAAGAGACAAAGAGACTAAACAGAAAACACTGTGTCAAGTAGTACTCCGGATGTATTACAAGATGCCAAGTAGAAAGCCCGGCTTAAATGGTTTAACTCTCTCTGGAAGAATGAGGGATGCTGAATCAAGTTTTTTATTAATATAATATTTAACTAATTTATACATGCTCCATACAATAATTATTACAGACTAGGTGAACCTCCCCTTTGACCAGTCTCCCGATCAGGAGAGTGAGGTCGAATGTGAGAATTTAGAGGAGTCTGTCAACTTGGTGAGCAGGAGGTCATTGGTGACCTGAGGAAAACAGTTGTTGCAGGCTTAGAATGGATGGGCATGATGTTTGGCAGTTAAGGTCTCCAGTACAGTTATTTCATTTGGATGTTGAAACTGCATAAACCTCAATTTTAAAATTTCTAATGTGGTTAGAATCTTATTTTTACAACAGAAAGAACTTGAGGGGTTAACCAAAGGAATCAGAATCCGGGCTGTGCTTGCATGTTGCTCTCTCTCTCACTGCCAATCCCAAACCACTTTTCACTTTGACTTCTATCACAGTTACGCGATTGCAAGTGCCAGACACGCAGTGAAGAACTGGTTGACTTTTCTGACGTGCACGGTTACCTCCTTACCTCACCAGATCTACTGGTCTCTATCCTGACAACTGCTGGCACACTTCTCAGATAGGCGTCTAGTGTAGGGTAACCTAACTGCTTGAAGGGGATCCAGTCTCCAGTCAAGGATTTGTACTCTCCTTGGAGCCGAGGCAAGGCTATTCCATTCTTATGAGACTGTAGAACAGCTCGTAGCATTTTTGAAACCAGATCAGCTTCCAGCATCTTCACCTACAAGAGCACAGTAGAAGATTACTGTGAGATGATTCATTAGCTTGTGAATTCAAGTTGATTTTCAGAGTGTACACTAGATTACTCCATTAATTGTTACTGGATACTTTCTGTGCGGTTACAACACAGGGCAGGAACTGCTAGGATACAGAAAAGCACAGAATATTATGAGAACACAGACGAAGTTGGAAAGGTGCAAAGACCAGCCTGCAGGAAGAAGGTATCAGGGAATGTTTCCCAGAAGAGGAGAGGCTCAAAAGAAAACCTAAAGAACAAAGAGAATCAACTAGGCACAGAGGAAACCGGTGTGTGGGGGAAGGCAGACGTGGGGAGAGGTATCGGCCTCAAATAGAGGACACAGAAAGTGCAAAAGGCACGGTGGTGAGAAAGAAGAACACGGCTGGTTCTGAGAGTTCCAGGTAGTTAAATGGCTGGACATGACTGAACAAAGACTCCAAGCTAAGGACGGAAAGATAGGGATGGAAGGCATAGGAAGAGGCAGACCCAAAGAGACTATCATGTTACACTAGTATGTTTGCATTTTTGCCAAAAGTAATGTGGGGCCTTAGAGGGATTTTAAATAGGGGGATTAAACGATAAGCTCTGCATTTTAGGATCATCACTATTCAGTAGTGGAGAAGATAAATTAGGAGAAAGATTAATGACTTGCAAGAATACTTAGAAATGTAGAGGGCCTGAAAACAGGGCCTTAGGAATAAACGAAAAAAAATCAATTCGAGAAGTAATGAAGAGGTGAAATCAACAGGAATTGATGAACTGGTTTAGATAATGAGGGAGGTTCCAAGTTCCTATCTTAGAAGGATGGTGGACAGTAATGACCCACACTGATGTGAGGTAGAGGCAGGTTTGCAATAATGGAAAACAATGAATTCCTTCTGGACATAGGAGTTTGGGATGCTCACAGGGCGGCCACAGAGCTATACTTACTAGGAACGTAAGTCAGAGGTCTGAGCTGGTTACAGATTGCTGGCCCTCAGCATCTATGTGGTATTTGGTGACTGGAGAGTCAAAAACAAAGTTAAGGATGGGCCTTAAGGAAGGCTGTCATTCAAGGAACGGGCAGAGAAAGAATTATTTATAAATGGCTGAGAAAAGGGGACCAGAGAACAAGTAGAAAAGGCAGAGTCACAATGTCACATAAACAAAAAGAAGAAAGAACCAAGAAGAATGCCATGTTCGAAACTGTCATACACAGCAGACAAGTGAGAGAAAAAAAGGAAAGCGACTACTGGATTTTGGTACCCAGGAAATCCACGAGGACCTTGGCTAAAATTTTCATTGATCAATAACAATCATATTTCAAAATTACCCACTCAAATTTTCTTTAGACTAATGATACACAGAATGAAGACAGATCTGAAGAATGACATTCAAGCTACCAGGAAAAGTGAACTTAGCCCTTCACTAAAGGAAGGACAAAGAATAAGCCACGGACAACTTGTATTTCCCTTCAACAGTGCTACCCAACAGAACTGCCTATGATGATGAGAACAGTTCACACCCATGTTGTCTGACATGGTAACTGACAGCCACATAAACCACCATACTAAGCACCTGAAATGTGGCCAACATGACCGGGAACTGGATTTTAAGTTAAATATAGTTATTAAATGACATATTGGACAGTAGAGAATTCTATCAATGTCCTCATTTGTCCTTTTGAAAATGGAGACAAAATATCAACTCAAGTGTGCGTCCTTTTAATTATAAATATGACACTTAAATAATAGCAAGGTTTAAATGGCAAATGACCTAGGTATTCATTATGTACTTTTCTTCATTAAATATTAACTTTTTTTCAAATTGTCACCAGCAGCACCAACAACATTTAATTAATACGATAGTCTAGGAAAGTCCTATACTAGGTCAATATTCTTATTCTCTCTATACACAAATAGAAACATACACACACATATACATATATACATATTTCAAAATCTTCATTTAGGTATAATTAATATACAATAAAATTTACTCATTTTATGCCTAACATGTATTTTTAATTTTTATTTACTTTAATATATTTTATTATGCTATTATAGTTGTTGTATTTTTTTCTTCTTTATTCCCCTCCGTCCTATACCCCTCCTCCCACCAGCACTCCCCCACCTTAGTTCATGTCTATGGGTCATACATGTAAGCTCTTTGACTCCTCCATTTCCCATACTATTCTTAACCTCCCCCTGTCTATTTTACACCTGCCATTTGTGCTACTTATTCCCTGTACCTTTCCCCCCCATTCTACCCTCTCCCTGTCCCCACTGATAACCTTCCCTGTGACATCCGTTTCTGTGATTCTGTTCCTGTTCTAGCTGTTTGCTTAGTTTGTTATTATTTTTGTTTTCTTAGGTTCAGTTGTTGATAGTTGTGAGTTTGCTGTCATTTTACTATACATGTTTTTTATCTTCTTTTTCTTAGATAAGTCCCTTTAACATTTCATATAATAAGGGCTTGGTGATGATGAACTCCTTGAACTTGACCCTATCTGAGAAGTGCTTTATCTGCCCTTCTATTCTAAATGAAAGCTTTGCTGGATAGAGCAATCTTGGATGTAGGTCTTCAAATTTCACGACTTGGAATACTTCTCTCCAGCCCCTTCTTGCCTGTAAGATCTCTTTTGAGAAACCCGCTGACAGTCTGATGGGAACTTCTTTGTAGGTGACTGTCCCCTTATCTCTAGCTGCTCTTAAGAGTCTCTCCTTCATTTTAATCTTGGCTAATGTAATGATGATGTGCCTTGGTGTGTGCTTCCTTGGGTCCAACTTCTTTGTGACTCTCTGAGCTTCCTGGGCTTTCTGGAAGTCTCTTTCCTTTGCCAGACTAAGAAGTTCTCCTTCATTATGTTTTCAAGTAAATTTTCGATTTCTTGCTCTTTCTCTTCCTCTTCTGGCACTCCTATGATTTGGATGTTGGAATGTTGTTGTTTTTTTTAAAGTTGTCCCAAAGGTTCCTAAGCTTCTCCTTATTTTTCAAATTCTTGTCTCTTCGTTCTGTTCTGGTTGAATGTTTATTTCTTCCTTCTGATCAAAATCATTGAGTCCCGGTTCCCTTCCCTTCACCATTGGTTCCCTACACATCTTCCTTTATTTAGCTTTGTATAGACTTCACTTTTTCCTCTATTTTGTGATCATACTCAAGCATTTCCATGAGCATCCTGATTACCAGTGTTTTGAACTATGCATCTGATAGGCTGGCTACCTCTTCATCACTTAGTTTTATTTTTTTCTGGAGGTTTGATCTGTTCTTTCATTTGGGCCTTATTTTTTTGTTTTGGCAGTCCTGTTATATAGTAAGGGGCAGAGCTTTAGGTATTCACCAGGGTGGGGCAACCCCCACAACTTCATTGTGGTGCTATATATGGGGGAGGGGTCCAAGAAGGAACAATGTCTCCCGTTCAACTCTCAGCCAGCTTTGGAGGAGGCAAAGTGTACCTATATACCTGTGCCTCTATCTTGGCTGGAATTCTGACATGTATTGAGTTTTGAAAAATATACACACTCTTGCAATCATTACCACAATCAAGATACAGACATTTCCACCACCAAAAAAAAAATTGCCTCATGTGGGGTACACAATTATGTACAAATAAAATGTATAACAACAACAGCACAAAGAATGAGAGAGAGGAACTGAAGCATACTAGTGGAAGGTTCTTATATTGTATATAGAGTAGTATAATATTATTTGAAAGTGGAATATGATAAAGACATAAATTATAACTGTTAGGGCAACCACTAAAAATTTTAAGAGCTACAATTAATAAGCCAGTAAAAATAAAACAATAAAAATTCAATTAAAAAGCAGGCAGAAGTAAAAAAACTGGAAGGAAATAATAAAGATGAGAGCAAAAGGAAAACAATAATAACTAAAAAGAATAGATAGGGCAATTAGAAAATAGCTAGCAAAATGCCAGATTTAAAACTAGTATAAAGGACACATGGATGATAACGGGGGGGTGTGGGGTGTGTGGAAATGGGAGGGAGGTGGGGAGCGCTGGGGGGGTGGGCTGGGATGGGAGTAAAAGACAGAAAACTATACTTGAACAACAATTAAATAAAATTAAAAAAAGTAAAACCAATCTTACCAATAATTGTATATATAGATGACCAAAATATTCTAATAAAAAGTTATAGATTGGCAGAGTAGATATAAAGGCAAAACTTACCAAAGGCTATCTAAAATAGGTCTACTTTAAATACAAATAAATTGGTTAAAAATAAGAAGAAAAAGACATGGCGTGCTGATACATGGCTATGTTCCTATCAGAACAAGGAATACTGCCAGGGGTAAAGAGAGAAGTTACACACTAATTAAGGAAGTAACTCATCAGGAAGACACACTGTCCTAAGTGAGACCACACCTACAGTCAGAACATCAGAACACACACAGCAAAACGACAGAGCTGAGAGGATAAACAGATTCACGGTTACAGCTGCAGACTTCAAAACTCCTTGCTCAGTTAGCAGAACCAGTAAACAAAAAAATCAGTAAGGATATAGACGAGCAGAAGAACACTATCCACCAAACTAATCTAACTGATATTTACAGAATAGTCCACTCCAACGACAGAATGCACAGTCTTGTCAAGAGCACTCGGAGCATTCACCAAGCTGGAATACATTCTGAAACTTGAAACAGAATAACTGAAATTACACAAAGAATATACTATGACCAGAACAAAATTAAGTTAGGTGTCAACGACATTAATATATGTACTGGTAAATTTAATGACATACTTCTACATAACCAATGATCAAAGAGTAAGGCTCCCCCAAAATCAGAAATAATTTTAAATAAATGAAAACACAATATATAAAAATTAACTGGTTGTGTTAAAGCAGCATTTAGAGGAAAATTTACAGCATTATATGGTCATGTTAGAAAAGAAAGGTCCTGAATCTGTGGTCTAATCTACAACCTTGAGAATGAAAGAGAGTAAATTATAACAGAAGTGAGTAGAAGGAAGGAAATAATAAAGA